ATTATATGATAAAGTTGCTTTCACACCTATGGAAATAAATACTAAATATGGAAAAAATGATGGTGAACATTAAGTGATCCTACCATGTACAAAAAACTTGTTGGTTGTCTAATTTACTTGACTATGACAAGACCAGATATCTCCTACACAGTACAAGTCCTAAGCCAATTTGTGTCTAATCCTCGGCAATTTCATTGCTCCGCCTTGCTTCGCATAATTCGATATTCAATTGTTGTTTTATTTATCTACTACTACTTTAAAATTTTTCTGCCTTTGCTTATTCCGATTGAGCTGGATGTCCAATCTCACGACGGTCTACCACAGGCGGTGTATGTTTTTGGATACTTTATTGATCTCTTGGAAGTGTAAAAAGCAAGATCGTATTTCCAAATCTTCAACAAAAGCGAAATATAGATCCACATTTGCTGCATGTTTTGATTTCATTTGGCTTCACAGGCTTTTTGGAGAACTTGGTTTATGCAGATAATTCAAGTGCAATTCAAATTGCCTCCAATCCTGCCTTCCATTAGAGAACAAAACACATAGAATGGATTGCCACTATATTAGAGATCTTGTACAAGAAGATGTCATCTCATTTGCTAAAGTTATTGATTGCCACTATATTAGAGATCTTGTACAAGAAGATGTCATCTCATTTGCTAAAGTTTCCTCTTATGACCAAGTCGCTGATTTATTATTTACAAAAGCCATGAATAGAACGAGACATGATTATCTTGTTTCCAAATTAGTGTTGATATCCCAACCAACTCCAATTTGAGGGGGGTGTTAACAAAGATATTATTCAAGTACATATGACAGCAGATTAGCACATTCACATTATTGACTTATCACGATTTTAGGCTGATTACAATGCAGTAACAATGCTTGTACAGCTAGGATAATATCTTCCTTTCACACTTGTATTTATACAGTATATATATCCTTTCATTGTAGCTGCAAGATTATCAACAAAGATACAATTCTTCAATTCATATTATTTTCCTTCTAATAAGTGGACAAAATTATTACTTTGGCTAGTGTAGGTCTTTATACAAGAGGAGACATGCCTTATAATTCATCTACGAAAAGCAGATAGTCCGTACCTACCAAGCTTGGTACAAGAAAAATATTTTATATTGAAAATGTGTAGTTATTTATTTTTTATTTAATCTAATTTGTGAATGTGAAAATATTTTATTTGTAATTTAGCATGTAACCTTCTGAGATTTCATAAGCATCAAAATATTAACCAACATTCAGGGGATGGAAACCGTTCTCGAAATGTATATATTTACTATTGCACTTAGTCCTTAAAATTTAGAGGTCATTTCCAAAGTTTGTTAATTTGGATAAAATTTTGTCAAAGTATATCTAATTCCGTAAATTTAGAAATATAAAAGTTGGACTTATAAATGAATTTTATAAAGTTTTATGAAATTTTTTTATACCATATAAGCTCTGTGAATGACACTTTGATGACTTTTTTTTTTTTTTTTTTTTTTTTTTTTTTTTTTTTTTTCTCAAGGCAACTGAACTTTTTAAGGTTTTTGTCTATGTTTAGCCTTGCACTTTAATTAACTCTAGATTGAACTTTTTGAATTTTTATTAATTATGCCACATTAATATATTTTTATTTTTGTACCAAAATGAAGAATTCACTTAACTAAAAATCGAAATATTTCAAATCCTTAAGAATGCAAAAAAGATTATTGTTGAAAACGCTTCTCTTTTTATAAGCTTAATGCAGCAACAAAGCAAGAATTAACGTTTTGGGTCAGGAAACACCTGTCTGTTGTGTGTGTATATATATATATATATATATATATACAACTTTTAATAAATGTTGAAAGTGTGTATGTGTGTGTGTATATATATATATATATATATATATACACTTTTTAATAAATGTTGAAAGTGTGTAAACCATAGTCTGGGAAAAATTGTTTGAAAAACTATTTTTAGAAGGAAACTTTTATATCAAATTGTTGGCTACCAATTTTATAAAAAATAAATAAATAATTCTATTGATATTACACTAAAATGAGCGATTAATTCAATGAATTGGGGTGAAAGTTAAAAACCAGTTAATATCATAAAACAGCAAAATATTACAACTATCAGAAAATCATCATAAGACCAATTCAACCTTCAATTCATTCAAAACAGACTCCACTTTCCTATATCGTATGCCATGATCTATACATAAACAGCACACCTTAACTAAAAATTCCTTGACATGCCTCCATTATTGAAGTCAAGATAATAAGGTTATGCCCAATAACAAATTTGCTTTTTCAAAAAACAATAAAAAAAAAAATTTCTTTTTGACCAGAAAAACAAAATGTTTTTAACTACCAAGACATCGAGCACAAGATACAGTCAGTCAACTAAAACAAAAACACTTGTTTAGGGATGAATTGTTAAAGGTATAGTAAAGTATGGCATGTCTTTTTTTGTTTGTGGAGAAGGTTTGGTAAATAAAAGTTTAATAATACTGTTTTATTTGGTTTGACAGTAGAGGAAGGTATTGTTAAATATAAATATTACGAAAATACCTTTTTCATGGAAAATTTACTGATAGTCATGGATAATTTTGAAAATCAAATTTTTTAACTATACTTACACCCCAATTCCGTGGATTGATAATTGGGGTACTTAGAAGGGTTTCAATCTCCTCAAATAACTTTCAAAAAATCATCCTCTCCCTCAAACCCTCCTTCCAAACGATTAAATAATTTTCATTTACCTCACTTTACTATCCAAACCCACCAAATAACCTCCGTCCAAACAATCTTTAATTTGTTTTTTGAAAAGACTTTGTTAATTACCTCATCACTATCTTTAATTTGTATATGGTCACTAACACAGCTGATAAGTATTTAAATATTGTCAAATGGATGCAATAAATTGCCTTTCCTCCAAGTATACTTTCTTACCAAGTATTGGTTGTCTGCTTCTCCTGGTATTAATTTGGAATTATGAACAATTTTGATTAAAGCATGAGCAGGCAAATGCTTAGGGAATAAAAAGCCCAAGCTTCCTACTCCTTGATACAGCATCACTTCAGATCAAAACATACATAAATAGCTTTCTTTACGTCTGACACCTCTCCTCTTCAAATACTTAAAATCATCATTTGATTAGTGAATCATCTGCGCTAAATCTGTTAGTTCCGGAAGGCTACATGGATTCACAACCAAGTAAACTTCACATTATATTCTTTCCATATATGGCTCATGGCCTCGTGATTCCAGCCATAGACATGGCCAGGCTATTCGCAAGGCATGGTGCTAAGGCAACCATTATTACCACTCCTCTTAATGCACCTCGCTTCTCTGAATCAATTGAAAGAGATAGAGAATTGGGTGTTCAAATTAGCATTACGATCATAAAATTCCCTTCTGCAGAGGCAGGCCTTCCGGAAAGTTGTGAAAACTTAATGTCTATCAATAACCCAGAAATGGTTCCAAAGTTCCTTCATGCAATTAGCCTGCTTCAAGAACCACTTGCAAGGGTCCTAGAAGAATGTACACCGGATGGTCTTGTGGCAGACATGATGTTTCCATGGGCTACAGAAGTTGCAGGCAAGCTTGGGATTCCATGATTGTTTTTTAATGGAACCAGTTGTTTTGCTATATCCGTGTTTCATTGTCTTAGACGGCATGAGCCTCACAAAGGAGTAGCTTCAGATTTTGAGCCCTTTATAGTGCCTGGCCTACCAGACCAGATAAAGTTGACGAAACTACAATTGCCAACATATTTGACAGAGACAACTGAGTGTAAATTAAAGAAGTTAATGGATAAAATTTCAGAAACTGATTTGAATTTTTATGGAGTCCTTATGAATAGTTTCCATGAGCTAGAGCCAGCATATTCAGAATACTACAGAAATGTTATGGGAAGAAAGGTATGGAATATTGGCCCTTTCTCACTTTTCAATAGGGACACCAATGATAAAGCACATAGAGGGGACAAAGCCTCCATTAGTGAACATGAATGTCTGAAATGGTTGAACTCAAAAAAAGCCAACTCGGTTCTCTATGTATGCTTTGGAGCTTTTTCAACTTCTCAAATTCACAATTACTTGAGATTGCTATGGCACTTGAAGCTTCTAGGCAAAACTTCATCTGGGTTGTGAGAAAGGAAGAGGAAAAAAAGAATGAAGAAATAGAAGAATGGATACTGGAAGGATTCATAAAGAGAATAGAGGGGAGAGGCTTGATAATAAAGGGATGGGCGCCCCAGGTGTTGATCCTAGATCATGAAGCTGTTGGAGGGTTTATGACTCATTGTGGATGGAACTCGACTTTAGAGGGAGTCAGTGCAGGAGTGCCAATGGTCACATGGCCTCTTTATGCTGAGAAGTTTGATAATGAAAAGCTTATTACAGATGTTTTGAAGATAGGAATAGGTGTTGGTGCCCAAGAATGGTCTAGATATGAGAAGAAAATTCTAGTGAGAAAAGAAGATATAGAAAAAGCAGTGATTCAGTTGATGATTGGTGAAGAAGCTGAGGAAATAAGAAATAGAGCTATGGCAACGAAAGAGATGGCAAGAAGAGCAACTGAAGAAGGAGGATCATCTTACTCCGGCATCAAGGCATTGCTAGAAGAATTAAGGGCCCTCAAGGCAAGCAAGTAGAATGCACTAGAAACAGAATAGGAAAAATAGAAAAGGAATAGAAGGAAAACCAATTTATATGCTTCAAATGATTGTTTATACTTCCTTATAAAACCCCTCCTCATTTGTTCCAGATTTACACTATCTTCATATGATTGTTTATACTTCCTTATAAAACCCCTCCTTATTTGTACCAGATTTGCACTATCTTCATGTTGCATATAAATGGATTTGAAGTACAAAATTCATGTATGGACAATATGATTTTTGTTTATACTTCCTTATAAAACCCCTCCTTATTTGTACCAGATTTGCACTATCTTCATGTTGCATATAAATGGATTTGAAGTACAAAATTCATGTATGGACAATATGATTTGGTTTATGTTGATTTCCATAAAACTGAATTCATAGGAGTGAAATGAACATTTTTTTTCCCTCAAACATGAAATTCAAAATGAATTCCAGAACATTTTGTGGAATCATTTATACCAAAGAGGTCTACAAGAACATAAACCAAATCATTTATATATATAGACACATACATATGAGCGCGTGAGAGTGCATGCACCAAAACAGGGCCCTTACAAGAATAAATTTCAATGTGTCTGTGCGTGTTTCTTTTATGAGCTGCATGTAGACAAGTTAAATGTTCTATTAAAACTGATAGGCAACCATGATAAGCAATTGCAGCCAAAATTGAAATGAACATGTCAACCATTTAATTTTACCAACCAATAAGTTTTTGCGTTGTTCATTAATATTAACAATAACAGAAGTACAGAAACTTACCTTCACTAGAATGAATGCATAAACGTTAATGGCCAACAGCGACACTCCTATTTTTGACAAAAGAAAAGATAAAGATAAGATAACATGGATTAGCATAAAGAAAATTCAAATGAAAGGTAATGAACTCATGATAAGACAAAAAAACAACATAGGCTTTTCATCAAACAGGTGACGTGCTTCGAACTTACCCAAACTATTGGCATAGAAATCAATCATTAATCTTAAAATAATTAATCCAATTCACCACATCAACTCCTCAGTAAAATTAACGAAAGCATAAATTAACGGTTAGATGATGAAGGAGAACGAAACTCTATTCAGTGGTATGGTCAACTAGATTGCAATAATTATGACACTCTCCGTTCTGGATTATCAACAAATGTAATAGGAGCTTCGACAAGAAATTCAAAAGATGTCAAACTCAGTCGACAATCTGGTGGATATACTACAATGCTGAACCCAAGCTATTTCAGACATTCAGTTGTGGGTAGAACACCGATCAAATTTACAATTTCGCACTGAGTAGATCCTTAAGAGGTCAAATTATAACAAAGGGACTTTTCATTTTTCGGCTGAGCGGATTCAAACTCAAATGAAACTCAGCCAAATACATCAAATGGGAACCAGTAGGGATTGTTAAGCCGAACAGTAACAGCCCAACCAACGCCAGTTCTATCAATACCATCAGCGTAATCATCTCATCCTATTTATTTATAATATTCTCGACAACATCGTGCCCTTAGGATCTATAGGTCAAATAAGACAGAAATTCAACACCCATTTTCGGTGGGAAGAGGCACAAGCAGAATATGATTCAACTGTTTTGCACGGTGCTTTAACAAACCTGGGCATAGAGTTTCGGGTAGCAGTCCGACCGGTCTATAGGCATTTTTGTTTTTTCTTTTTCATTTTGAATAAAAATTTAAATCTTATGTATTTTTTTTCAAATTTTAGAATTCATTTTTCAATAAAAAATCTTTTTCTTTATTTTGTCAAGTATTGATAATGTTAAGGCCCTTATATACAAATGCACTGGAGCTATAACCCGCGTAGCGGATCAATATTAAATAATAAAATAATCTTTTATATATTATTTAAAAATAGTAAAATTAATTTTTTATATATCATTTAAAAATAGTAAAATTATATAATAAAATGATAAATTGTATCTCATTTAAATAGGTTGAAAAGTTGCAATGCTAAGATATGTCTTTTTAAGTATCTATGTCTTTTTTTAAGTATCCATGTGAAGCCTTTCATAATGTACCGATAGCAAAAGGCCAAACATGGTATAAACCTACATTAAAAAATACATTACACAACTATTGATGTATTTTTTAAATAGTGATAATAATCTTTAAACTTAACTATTATAATTGAATAAGAAAATTTAAGTAATTTTTTTATTTTATGTTTATGATTTATTTAAAATGATTGTTTTATTTACTTGAAATATTAATGTATTACTTATTTTAGTGTAGTGTGTCCCTAAGAGTATAGATGTTTCTAACTTTTTTTAAAATAAATTCATCGTATATGAGACTACTCCATACTAATCAACAAGGTTTCTTTTTATTACCAGTGAAAAAAATGAAGTAATGAAGTGTTTTTTTAATTTATTTTTTATCATTGGAATAAGAAATTAAGTATTTTTTATTTTATGTTTATAATTTATTATAAATGATTATTTATTTATTTGAAATATTAATATATTTCTCATTTAGCGTAGTGTATCTTAAGTGTGCAGATGTTCTACCTTTTTTAAAAATTATTATATCCCATATATTTCCATATCTCGTGTCCCGTGTTCGTTCAACTTAGTTCCTGGTATATGAGGCTCCTCCATACACCAAACTAATCAATTAAGGATTTTTCTTATTACGAATAACAAATGAATTGTTTTTTCTTAATTTATTTTTGTGTCATTGAAACGAGAAATCAAGTATATATTATCTTCATGATTTATTATAAAATGATTGTTTATTTATTTGAAATATTAATGTAGTACTTATTTAGTATAGTATGTTCTAAGAGTGTAGATGTCATACTTTTCTAAAAATTATTGTATCTCACACGTTTTTGTATCTCATGTCCTATGTCCATGCTACCTGGCTTCTGGTACATGAGACTACTTCATATACCATCTGGTACATGAGACTACTTCATATACCAAACTAATCAATCAATGTTTTTTTTTTTTATTACCAATAAAAAATGAAGTATTTTTTTAATTTATTTTTGTGTTGTTGAATTAAGAAATTAAGTATTTTTTTTTGTTTTAGGTTTATGATTTATTATAAATGATTGTTTATTTATTTGAAATTAATGTATTACTTATTTAATGTATTGTGTCCTAAGCGTGTGAATATTCTACTTTTTAAAAAAATTATCATATCTCAAACGTTCATGTATCTCGTGTCCCGCGTCCGTACAACCTAACTCTTAGTATATGAGACTACTCAATATACCAAGCTAATCAACCAAGTTTTTTCTTTTATTATCAATAAAAATGAAGTGTTTTTTTTTTTAATTTGTTTTTGTGTCACTAAAATAAAAAATTTAGTGTTTTTTATTTTATGTTTATGAAGTGTTTTTTTTTTTAATTTGTTTTTGTGTCACTAAAATAAAAAATTTAGTGTTTTTTATTTTATGTTTATGATTTATTTTAAATCATTGTTTATTTATTTGAAATATTAATGTATTACTTATTAAGTATATTGTGTTCTAAACGTGTGGATGTTCCACCTTTTTTAAAAATTGTCATATCTTGTATGTTTATGTATCTCGTGTCCCGTGTCCGTGCAACCTAACTCTAGGTATATGAAACTATTTAATACTCCAAGCTAATCGACCAAGGTTTTTTTATTACTAATAAAAAATAAAGTGTTTTTTTAAAATTCGTTTTCGTGTCATCGAAATAAGAAATTAATTCTTTGTATTTTATGTTTATAATTTATTATAAATGATTGTTTATTTATTTAAAATATTAATATTACTTATTTAGTATAGTGTATCCTAAGCATGTGGATATTCTATTTTTTAAAAATTGTCATATTTCGTACATTTTTATATTTCGTGTTCTGTGTCCATACAACTTAGCTCCTGATTTATGAAACTATTAAATATATCAAACTAATCAACTAAGGTTTTTTTATTACCAATAAAAAATGAAGTGTTTTTTTTTAATTTATTTTTTGTCATTGAAATAAGAAATTATTTTTTTATTTTATGTTCATAATTTATTATAAATGATTTTTTATTTATTTTTTTTTATTTATTTGAAATATTAATGTAATTACTTATTTAGTGTAGTGTATCCTAAAGCATGTGATATGGTACTTTTTTTAAAAATTGTCATATCCGTATGTTCCCGTATCTCGTGTATGTGTTTGTGCGACCTAGCTCCCGGTATATGAGACTACTCCATACACAAAGCTAATCAATCAAATTTTTTTTATTACCAATAAAAATGGAGTTTTTTTTTTAATTTATTTTATGACATTGAAATAGAAAATTTAGTGTTTTTTATTTTATATTTATGATTTATTATAATTGATTGTTTATTTAATTGAAATATTAATGTATTACTTATTTAGTGTACCGTGTTCTAAGCGTTTGGATGTCCTACGTTTTTTAAAAATTGTCGTATTTTATACGTTCCTATATCTCGTGTCCCGTGTTCGTGCAATCTAGCTCCTATTATATGAGACTATTCAATAAATCAGGCTAATCAACCAAGATTTTTTTTATTACCAATAAAAAATAAAGTGTTTTTTTTAATTTGTTTTTGTTTCATTGAAATAAGAAATTAAATACGAAATAAGAAATTAATTTTTTTATTTTATATTTATAATTTATTATAAATAATTATTTATTTATTTGAAAGATTAATGTATTACTTATTTAGTTTTGTGTATCCTAAGCGTGCAGATGTCTTACTTTTAAAAATTGGTGTATTTGTACGTTCCCATATAAAAAGAGAGTCAGAGAAATATTAAAATATAAAAATAGAAAATAAAAAATAAAAAGCTATAAGTATATATTACTATTAGTCCTTACTGTATAAAACGTAAAGATCTAATTTGATTGATTTTGTAGAAAACGTTTATGATAATTAACTGTTGGCCAAAATTTAATTGTTGGTCCCTACTATTCTTATTTTTGGTTTTTAATTTTTAATAATTAATCAAACTTATTGTTTCCTACTACTCTTTCTCACATTTGGCAATTTCATAAGCTTATATTTGGCTTCTATATAATGCAAATGCTCTGCTTATATATATTATATATAGATTTGTACTATTAACATTATATATTACGTTGTTTCGTTACAACTTACTAAACATATCCTCAATATAATAACAGAATAAAATCTTTTTTTTTCCCTGATTTCTATGAAATTCGTTGTTTGTAGAATAGCAATTTAATTTTTAGATTATTTGAATTTATAAATTAATAAATATATTTTAGGATATATTTTTCGGAATTTGAGCATATAAAAATGAAGTATATTTCATAAGAATATATATTATTTGTCTTGGACTTATATTTTATTTATTTATTATGAATTTAAATGAGTAAATAAACAAATAAATATATAAAAATTACCAATCCCTCGATGGGTTTCGGACAAAGTCTCTATTCCTACAAAACAAAAATCCTTATGGCTAAGCCTAAGCTAAGTAATTACCATAAACTTTTTGCAATAAATAATTGGAAAAAAGTACTACATATTTACGGGTTGTGGTTCGATTAGCACGTATGTTAGATATATAAAAAGAGCTCTCGAGTTCGATCCCACTAAATACATTCACAAGAAGGGGCGAGAAATTTTAACTATGACTAGCTCTCGAGTCGGATTGGGTGGTCCCTAATAACAAGGTCTTGATATCGGTGTTTACATAAAACAAGCATTTTTCCTAATAAGATGACACGTGCCATTTCATAAATGAATGTTTTTCTTTTATTCTTATCGCATAAGATTTTTGGTAATGACACGTAGGATTATAATGACACATAGGACTATAATGACACTTATGACTCTTAAATTTTGATAGTGCCACATAGAATTTAATTATTAATTATAATGTTATATAAATATTGAAATTAATTATCATTCAATTATCATAATTAATACATATTAGTAAATGATTATAGTTATTATAATATTGTAACTTATCTTTCTAATTAAAATTACATAATATTTATTTTAATTGTCATTCAATTATCATATTAATATTATAATATTGTAACTTATCTTTCTAATTAAAATTACATAATATTTATTTTTTAATTTGTCCATTCAATTATCATATTAATATGTATTAATAATTAAAATTATTATAATATTATACACCTAATTTTTAAAATTAAAAATTAATCAATTTTTTTTTATGTTGATTATCATATTATATGCCATTAACAATTATCTTTTAAATTAATATTATTTTGATATTGAATATCATTATAATCAATCATCTTATCATTTATTATTATGAATGAAAATTTTATATTGAAAAGAATGATAGAGAAGGTTAATGGGGAAAAATATTTATTAATAGCTTTATTAACATTGAATATCCAAATATTTCAATATTTATTAACAGATCAATTTTTTTTTTTTGTAATTTCAATTTTCAGCATTAATATATTTTTTTCTCTTCTAATTTATATTACTCTATCAAATTAGGAAAAGTTTGATAAATTATAAAAGAAAGCATTTTATATGAAATTATCATTAAAAATGATATATATACACGTCTATGATTGAAAATTTATTTTATTATTTTTAATATCATCTAAGAAAATTTATTAATTCAAAAATAAATTAAAATCAATGATTTTTAATATATATTTCCTTTTAATATATATTTCCTTTTTCTTTCAATTTTTTTATAGACATTGATTTTTATATAATTAGTCTAAATATTTTGAAATTTGAAAATAGATATTCTTTAATTTAAATTAAATAGATATTCTTTAATTTAAATAATTTTCAACAAAATTAATAAATATGAAATTATAAATAATTTAAATTATAAATTTTTTTCTTAACTAAATTATATATCTTAATGTGCATAGCACAGGCATGCTGCTAGTATAATAAGAAATATGACACTCCTCCTCCTCTCTAAAATACTTAAAGCTTTTTCTTTTTTTCTTTGAGTGGCCACCGGCAGCAGCGCCTTTTTCTTTTCTTTTTCGCACCTACTCTTCTGTTATTTTCTATTCTCCTTCTCTCCAAAATATTTAAAGTCTTTTTTTTCTTTTCTATGGGTGGCTACCGCGACAAATCTTTAGCCGGTGGCAATTCCTTTTTCTTTTCTTCCTTTTCGCACCTGCTCTTCTATTATTTTCTATTTAGCTTGTTAGTATTTCTCCTTTCTATTTTGTTTTGCTATCCCCAATGGATCTTCTCCCCAATATGCTTTTGGCCTCTTTCTCAAGATAGATCTATGGATCTGTTCTTGCTTTGGTTTCTACCTAGGGTCATCTGAGCTTCTCAATTTGGGGCAACCACTCATAGAAAGTATCGACAAAAATTCTCTATTGAAGGGAGATATGGTTCATCCTCTACATCAAGATGGGTTTATGCACTAGATCTTTTTTTCTTAAAGATCAACTCCAAACTCTGGAAAGCCGCTGCAAAGGAAGTTTGGCACCATGCCGCAGCAGCGGTTGCCAGTGGGTTACTCCCCCTTCCCTTAGACATAGGGTATTTTAACAACCTCATTTTTATTCTAAACCAATCTCGTATGCTCTTGGTTGTGCTATATTACTTTTCCTCTTATACTCTCGTTTTATGATATTAATATAGGAAAATGCTCATTTTGGCCCTTCAACTTGGTCCCCAAAATCAATTGACCTATATTTTAACTTTAAAGCCAAATTTCTCCATTAGTTAGTATATTATAACCCAATAGCTCAGACATTCAGCTGTTCAGCGCATATGTAATATAATCAAAATCCAAAGAAGGTGATGTAATATAATCAAAATCCAAAGAGGGTGAGAGAACAAATTCAAAGCTGAATCTCCACACCAATAATTCAGTTACCAAATATTATTGTTGAGAGGGAAAAATAAGACAAGCTGCCTCCTTCTGTAATATGAAGTTGGCACAATTGAGGTAAAAATCAAATTGGGGAAAAAATAAATTTTTCTTTGATATTCAGAAACAAAACCGAAATTGACAGTGACTCTCTCATTTTTCTCGATTTTGACGATAAGTAGTTTTTTTGTCTTTGTTTCTTTGTTAACTAAAAGTAACTCGGGAAAAATATTTTTTTAATTTCTTGCTAACTGAAAAAAACTCAACAAAATTGTTTATTTGTTTGCTTGTGGTGTGATCTACATTGTTTCATTGGATTGTTTTATGTCTCATGTATTGTAGCCCATATTTTCTGCTTTGATATCGATCTTCCTAGTGATAAGTGAAGGATTGTTCCTTGTACTCCTTGTTGGTTTTTTTTGTAAAGTCTTTCAAGTTTGTGATACACCCGCTTGCGAGTTATAGTGTAACAAGGCTTTCGATAATGCTATACCTCTGATTCTTTAACCCTTGTGTTGGTAGAGGTTGTTATTTAACCTTGTAGACTCTGACCAGTACTCGTTGCTATTTCTTTTACATTGTATGCTTTGATATCGATCTTCTTAGTGATAAATAAGGTGTTGTTCCATGTACTCCCTGCTATTTTGTTTTCTAAAGTCTTTTAAAATTGTGATACATATACTCGCTTGCGGGTAAGAGTGTAACAAGGTTTCAAACCACATTTACAGTATCGAACCACTCTCTCATAATCATACTCTAGATGAGAATCTCCATTATTACGAATGTTGGGTGAGCTTGAATATCGGCCTCCAGACACCGAGCTTCCCTGACTCTCTTATCCTCACTCTCTCATTGATTAAGGATTTATTTTAGGTTAAGGGTTTTGGTTTTTGATAATTTAGGGATTTTGAGATACAAAGGTAGCATTTTAACTGTAATTATGTTAATAGAATGTTTTCATCTTTAATATTTAAAAAAAAAAAAATCTTTGACCACTTGTGAATCACGCTCTCGTACCAGCTGAATGTGTGAGCTATTTGATTTTAATATGCTAACTAATGGAGAAATTTGGCTTAAAAGTTAAAATATGAGTTAATTGATTTTGGGACCAAGTTGAAGGCCCAAAATCAACCTTTTTCCTATTAATGTATTTTCCTTGTTTGTGCCAAAAAAAAAAAAAAAAAGACTAAAAACAAAAATGTTGAAGATAAAATAACATCTTTCTTTCTCTCTCTTTTTCTTATCTCCCTCCACCATATCCTTGCTCCTCTATAAAAGATCTTCTTCAAAGCGCAACTGGTTCGCCCTCGTGTGGCTAAGTATGTGACAATTTTGATAATGTGTTTAGAGATAATCTCAATATTTTTCCCTTATTTGGTCTCTTCTTTTTGTTTAACCTTTTTTTTCTTTAATTTGAACTTGAAAAGGAAAAATATGAAGTAAAGTGCATAGATTCTATTGCAAAGCAATGGAAATTGAGAGGGTAAATTTACGGAATCAAATGATAAACTTTTTGAATTTCTTACATTCTTAACTGATAGATGTATTTATCGAGAATATTTTAATTTTCTTCAAATATTTTGCTAAATTTCAAAACGACAGTGTATAATATAAGGGAAGGCATCTTCTTCTCTTCACATATACTTAACGGTCAAAAGGAGTCTTTTTGGACCGACGGACCTTCTAGTTGGATAGAACTAAAATATAAGGACTTTTTAATTGGCTAACTGAAATAGGAGGAGGATGTAATGAATTTGACAAAATTAAAAGGATTAAATAGTAATTTTCTCTAAATAATTTAAGTGCAGCAGCTCAGCACAGCAGGGTCAAGCATGGCCCCTCCAAACCTTTGTCTATGGCTGTGACATCCTCTTTTAACAGCTCCAATAATTTAAAGGTAGAGCAGCTCATCCCCGTCTCATTATACTTCTCTTTAGATTATCTCATGTAAATCTTATATATCTTTTTTTGTAAACTTAAAAGGACATACATGTTTTGATTTGTAGTATAAATTTTTAATTCTTTATGTTATATTTTATTTTTGAACTTATTATAAATAAATAAAAACTTAAAAAATTAATTAGAACAGGTGATGCAATCATACAATCTATTTTAAATATATATAATAATAAAGTTATGTTTCAATCCGAATGAAATGCAAAAATAGAAGCTGTGATTCTAATTTCATTCTTCTCTTTAGTCATTCTTCAATGGTTTCCTGATATCAATTCTGGCTTATTTTCTAAATGATAATGAAGTTTATTATTCAACATTTGAAATTATTTTCTCAAAATATATAAGAATAATTCGAAATTGTTTATTTGTATCAGCATATTTATTTTAAAATATATGTAAATTAAATATTAAATTAATTCATCTTAATAAAATGCGAATGTATTAACTGAGTTATGATATAACTCAGTGATAATTTTATGTACGACTTGACAATAGACTCATATTTGAATTCTCCTCCCTCTATACTCAAAAGAAAAAAATAATCCTAGTATGATTTGTACATTCGATTTTCTCAAAATAGAAATTAATAATAATATGTCATTCTTGTTGAATTTTGACCCTCCTTATAAATCTCCATCCCGAATCATTTTCTTTTATTTTCCTAATTTTCCCATCACCTATGATAATAATAAAATATTTGTTCCGTACACCTAATATAGGTTGTATTCAGTTCATTAATATAGCGTTTGAATTACTTTGTAGAGATTAAAGTAGCATTTTTCGTTTAAATTTTTAGTATTTTATCAAAAGCTGCTAAATTAGTTAACAGTCACATATTACTCAAACAGCTAATAGTTATTAAAACAATTAATTTTACCGAACAGATTCGTAGTTTAAAAGTTTTTCCATAAAAATATGTAGTAAGTAAATATGCCTATCATTGATGTAGGGAGATTAAGAAACTAACAATCAATATTAGATTAAAAACTTTTTATCATTTAAGACTCTTTTATCCTTTTCTAAAGTAAATTATTGGTAATTATCCTCCGTATTTTCATTAAATTAGTGATACACCTGAGTGTTATTCCTTCAGATGATGGCGGGCATAGCTCATGGCCGCCTGAACAGTTGGAAAAAATAAAAAAAATAAAAAGATCAGCTAAGCCTAAAGTCAACATGCTATCTCACCACTTGTTTTACTTTAAAGAATAGTCTGTCACAACTTACAACAAAAATTATTTCTTTTTTTTTTTTTTAACTAAAGAAAAATATTACGATTTTACCAACAATATTTTGACTGGGATGGTCAAAAAATTCTTACATTCTGAGAAATTAATTATATAAAAAAATTATTTCTATTTATTTTTATATGGTCAGAAATATTTTTATTTTAATAAAAAAATTTATTTTATTACTTTAATTCAGGCTATGTATCCAGTCTATACAAATGAAACTGGGTCAACCAATGACTGAATTGTAGGCACATATATCAACACCAAGGAGGCAATCACATCAAACTTTCTTTTCCTTACCTAAACCCAATCAAAAACCTCCAAGTCCAACGCACTTTCCTCATCTCCTATCTAATCACGATTTCCATGGAAACGACACAACAACAACAAACGCCGATGTGTGAAATTCTCGGCTCCAACGACTGGAAAAACCTGCTCGAACCACTCGACCTAGACCTCCGTAAACTCATTCTCCGGTGCGGCGACTTTTGCCAAGCCACATATGACGCTTTCAACAATGACCAAAACTCCCCGTACTGCGGCACCAGCCGTTACGGCAAGAACAGCTTTTTCCACAAAGTAATGCTTGAAGACGCTGAAAATTATACAGTCTCTTCTTTCCTTTATGGCACAGCTCGGGTTAGCCTGCCTGAAGCCTTCCTGCTTCATTCTCAGTCCCGCGAATCTTGGGACCGAGAATCTAACTGGATCGGCTACATAGCTGTCACCTCCGATGAATATACAAAAGTCATCGGCCGGCGTGAAATCTACATCGCGTTTCGTGGAACTACTAGAAACTATGAGTGGGTTGATATATTAGGAGCAAAGCTCACATCGGCTAAACCATTGTTGAAGGGTAGTAGCAATGAGTTTAAAGAGAATAATAACAGTAGCAGTGATAGCGATAGTGAAGGGGATCATGAAAAGTTCCCAAAAGTAATGTTGGGTTGGATTACGATTTACACTTCTGATGACTCGAGATCGCCTTTTACCAAAATAAGTGCAAGGGATCAACTTTTGACGAAGATTACTGAATTAAGAGAAAAATATAAAGATGAAGATTTGAGCATAATATTTACAGGACATAGTCTTGGTGCCAGTTTATCAATTTTGGCAGCTTTTGATATTGTAGAAAATGGCATTACTGATATTCCAGTAGCTGCTTTCGTCTTCGGGTCGCCACAAGTGGGAAATAAAGCTTTTAATGAGAGATTCAAAAAATATGGAAATCTTAAGGTTTTGCATATAAGAAATAAGATTGATGTTATTCCACATTATCCAGGAAGATTGATGGGGTATCAGTATACTGGAACTGAGCTTGAAATAGATACGAGGAAGTCTCCGAGCTTGAAGGATTCGAAAAACCCGAGTGATTGGCATAATTTGCAGGCCATGTTGCATATAGTAGCAGGGTGGAATGGTGAGGATAAGGCGTTTAAGCTGCAAGTTAAGAGAAGCTTGGCTTTGGTTAATAAGTCATGTGAGTTCTTGAAAGATGAGTGTATGGTTCCTGGGTCATGGTGGATAGAGAAAAACAAAGGGATGGTTAGAGGAGAAGATGGAGAATGGGCGTTGGTTCCGCCGGATGAGGAAGACAAGCCTGTGCCTGAATATTGACCGTTGGAAGAGACAGACTTGTTGGTGTTGCCTGGTTGGTATTTTAAATAATTTCCTCTTTTACTTTTTTCTTTTTTAATAATTTCCTTGTTTTACTTTCCTTTGAAAGAGACGATATGTGATAATGTGTGACCTGCATAGTAAAAAAAGGTATTTTATTTAATTTTAGTAATATCATAGTGCACATAGGGCATGTTTAGTAGGTTGAATAAAAATAGAATTAGATTTCTATTCTCCATTTCCTCGTTCAGTGGCCATTCATTGTGCTGCGAAATAGATAATGAGTTTTGTAATAGGGATTCTTATCATCTTCTCTAAATCCATATTACTTTTTATAAAATAATTTATATGTTTTTATATTGTATTTTTCTCTCTGTCTATTTTAATAATTTTATTATTATTATTATTATTTTGGCATTTTCACCAATTTTCCTTCTATTATCTTGTAATTTAAATTCCTATTCCCCTTTCTATTTCATTATTTATTTAATTCCTTACTCCATACTAACATAGTAATATTGTCGTATATTTTTATTGAAAAATCTTATTAGTAGACAAATTAATATATTAGTCGGTATTTCTAACGGTTACCAATTATCACCTATTGCTGATAATTATAACATTATTTATATTAGGAAAAAACTTGACTAGATCATATATATGCCTCTGAACTAAATGAATGAATTTAAGAATTTTTATGGAATCGAGAGTCTATGACTCTTGTTTAGAAAATCTTTCATTTCATTTATTTGATTTATGAGTGGGTCATAGATCCGGTCTAGATAAGTTCTTTCTGTCTATAATACTTATGCCGAATACATCGTTTGCCTTTTGAACTTACACAAAAATAGTATTGTGGCTCTTTCTACTTTAAAAGTGACCTCATGTCATCCTAAATTTTATTGTTTATAAGATTTAAGAAAGGTTTGTTCACAGATCTAGATCTAGAAGGGAGACGGACAAAACCTTGAAGAGGAGGGGAAGCGAGGAGGAGGAAAGTGAAAAAGAGAACCAGAAGATTCTTCATAGTCGCCATGTGTAGCGCAAAAGCTTGGTAGTGGTGGCGGTAATGATAAAGATCAACACGACTGCTAAGTACAAAAGCCAAACTTTAGTTCTCCAGTGAAAAAATGAGATAATTATAATTTATTTGGGTCTAGTTATTTTGTGTGCTTGGAAATGGAGAAATGCAAATTTGCAATTGCCTAATACGGCACAAAGAGTCGAAAACTGCCAAAAACATGGGATGATTGGGATTTGTATACAATCTGATCTTTGTAAGGTTTGTTTAGAATTTTATTGTTTGATCTTTATTTAGGATTTATATATTGATCTTTATTTAGGATTTATATATTATATATATATATATATATATAGATATAGCCAGTGTTGAAAAGACGAAATCAAAACTTTAACTACTAATATATTTAAAATTTATATTATCGAGTTAAAAATATAGCAATGTGAAAAGACGAAATCAAACTTTAAACTAACTAAATATTTAAAATTTATATTATCGATTAAAAATTAACAATTCATTAAAAAGCTTTAAAAATTTTTACCATTTTTAAAGGAAAACATACATTAAAATTTTGGGTAATAATCAAATATTTATGTAATAAATTAACAAATTGGATCAGCTGCTTTGAAGGTCAATATAGTAAAGCTGACGACAAGGTGGTTTAGAGTTTTTGAAAGCTAGATGAGTAAAATGGGCTTTGCTTCTGATTGGATTGACGTCATTATGCTCAATGTCACTCTTGTTCCTTAAAATGTCAGTTTTGACGGTAAAAATATTGGGCCTATTATTCTTAAGCAGGGTCTTCGCTGCTCCATTATTGGGCCTATAATAATAATTATTATTATTAAAAAGGGAAGAAAACCTAAATTTTTGTTCAAATTATATATATTTTTTCATTTCTTTCTTATTACATTTATATTTATTGTGACAGTATATATGAGAGTGTAATAAATTTTATTTTTTAATAAGAAATTACAAATTTTTTTAATAAAAAAATTAATTTTCTTTTTTGTAAAAAAGAAAAAGACAACATGTATTGACCCTCATCTTTCTCTTCAATTCACCATACCATTCCTCTCCCTGTCAAAAACTTTTATAAAATCATTTTTAATTAAAAAACAAATCTTGTACAATTTTATTCATCTCTATCTTTCTTCACTTATGATGCACAAAGACTTTTAGCTAGACATTTCTGCGTCTCAAAAAATATTTCTTAGGTTGTGGCATTGAAATCTATTGGGACTTGGGGCTAAGGATAATGATCCTCTCACCTGTATATCAATAAAAATATTAATATGATATTTTTATTAATAAAATATACTCCAATATATTCCATTTTTTCTGATACGCATGGGATTCCTGAAAGGTCCCAGAACTTACAACTACACGTTCTCTTCACCATTCTGAGCATTACATTATGTTTTTTTTATCACTTTTGATCATTGGAAATTTTAATTTCATTGTGGGGATAATTTTTCTTTAACCTTTTTCCGAGTGGAGCTCGAAGTAATTTATGATGGGAGTGACTCGTGTTAGCCCCTGTGGATAGATGCTCCCAGCCTTTGCATTATTGCCATTTCTGCCTGCGACATATGGGCCTAATTGATTACTTTGGTTTATTAGGCATGTCCTTTTTTTTTCCTCTGCTCTTTATTGATAAATATTTTATATTCACGCAAGTTGGAATACTCAGCTTATCCAATGAATACAATTTCATAATTCTTTTCATTCAGTGTATCAACTGCAAAAGTTTTCATATATCAAATAATTTACTCATAAAAAATTATTAATGTCTAATAAATAAATCTCATTCAAAAATGCCAATGTTTGTTCTTTCTGGGTTGTTTTTCCCCAATAAACAGGACCAAATCACTAGCAATAACTTCAGTATCTTATCACTTACCCATCACGTTTGTTATCTAATAATTGGATTTTTTTTTATTATAATTAAAAAAAAAAAATTAACAAACCCTTCTTAATTAAGGAAAAACACCTACACGTTGTTCCATTCACACCCTTCACCTTATTGATTAAATTATTTCAATTTTTAAATTAATATTTAGGTCTATGGGATAGAGATCACAAAAATGGATTACTAGACTTGCCATAAAAAAAATATATATCATTTAGGATTTGTTTGGTTTAATAATTAGGTTTTAATTATTAATAATTAGTGGTGACGTGGCTATTTGGTGGCTAACAAGCGATTAGATGATCAAATATTAATAATCATAAATAATAATTTTTAATATTCCAATTATTGTTTTATTTCTTTAAATATTAGATTTTATATTACTCTTTTGAGTTTAGGGTTTAGAAATTATCGATTGAAATTTAACATCAAACACTAATTTCCAACTATTCATTCAAATGGATCTTAATATAAATAAACTCAAAAACTAATATGAAACAATTCCAATTATTTAAATTGAAAATGTTGACAAAATAATCCCTAATGTATTCTACTTTTGATACTAATATTCAAAGGACTTAAGTCTTGAATATATAATCCAATTTTATTCAATTTATAAATTCAATTTTATTCTTATCATAAAAAAATTTGGTGAGGCCTTAATTTTTATTTTGCTTTATTAAACACTCTAACTTATAAAACTATATCTATTAAATAATTCAATTTATAAAATCATGCTATTAAACGTACTAATTTATAAAATTAGATCAATTAAATTTTTATTTGATAGTTAAAAATTGTGAAAAGTTGTACTAATAATATTTTACATATAAAAACTAAAACTTTAAAAATTATTGTCATAATTTTAGAAGATACAATTTTTTTTTTTTTTGAAAAATATAAAAGTGTATGCTTTTATACTTTGCTGCTAAGGAACATAAATCAAGGAGAAGATATTAAATTATAGTAATTATTTTTATTTGTCAAGTGAAAAGCATACAATTTAGACAACACAAAACTCTTTTAGAAAAGTTTGATAATTTATAAATACCTACTAAAATTAACACACATGTTCATCAATGTGATAAGTTGTAAAAAGGATTTAAATTTGTTAAATAAGAGATGAAGTGTTTCATGATTTTGGATGTAACGAGGATTCGAAGGATTCTCCAATTCCTATGGTCATGGATGGAAACGTGTTTCAATCATAAAAATAAATTATAAAAACATGTTTTAATTAAATTATAACTATTTAAATTAAAAAAGAAAAAAAAACAATAAAAATATCCTCGCATGTGGCAACCGCCAATTTGCTGAGGCTATCACATGCTAAAAAATCGAAAACAATTTTCGTTTTAGTCAAAAACGGCACAAAAGAATACCCACACACTCCTCTCTATATTAGGTGGGTCCAGCTCATATTAACCTTACCTTGCGTGACAAATATACAACTCCTATTTCAACGCAGCTTCGTCTTCCTAATTCTTGTCCTCTTCAACCTTTACCGGTAACCTGTCTTTGTACATGTAGTAATCCGATTCTAAAAATATAAATTTCTCCCTATATATATACGCTCAAAAGCACAAAGCAAAATCACCCATATCACCATCCGACCCAACCCTACAGCCATGGCTTCTCCTGGAAGATCTCTCCCTTTTTTCATCCTATGTGGGTTCCTTTTTTTCTCCTCTTTAGCGCTGGACATGTCGATTATTGATTACAATATCAGGCATGGACAAAACCCAGAAGAAAGAACAGACGCTAATGTTCGGAGAATCTATGAGATGTGGCTCGTCAAACATGGGAAAGCTTATAATGCTTTGGGCGAGAAGGAGAAGCGGTTTCAGATCTTTAAAGATAATCTTAAATTCATCGATGAGCATAACTCGGTTAATCGGAGTTATAAGCTCGGATTGAACCGGTTCGCCGATCTGAGTAATGAGGAGTACCGGGCGATGTTCTTGGGTACAAGGATGGAAAGGAAAAATAGATTGGGGGCATCGATGGGGACTGAAAGTAGGTATTTGTATAAAGAAGGTGATGATTTGCCGGAAAAGGTTGATTGGAGAGAAAAAGGGGCTGTTGTTCCTGTCAAGAATCAAGGACAGTGTGGAACTGAAAGTAGCGTATTTGTATGGCGATGTTCTTGGGTACAAGGATGGAAAGGAAAAATAGATTGGGGGCATCGATGGGGACTGAAAGTAGGTATTTGTATAAAGAAGGTGATGATTTGCCGGAAAAGGTTGATTGGAGAGAAAAAGGGGCTGTTGTTCCTGTCAAGAATCAAGGACAGTGTGGTAAGTTTGTTTCTTAGCGATTTTTCCTTTTTCTTTTTTGAGTTTTGTTGGTTTTGATTGCTTGTGAAGTGGGACCTGGAAGCATGGCATGTTCTTCCAAGGATTTTCCTGGAAACTAGCGACACCAATTGATTTTTGATTTGTTAGTGTTATCTCCTTAGCAGGGATATTTCTTGATTTTTCGTGAAAGAAAATAAATTGTTTGTTTTTATTTATTGAAGGGAGTTGCTGGGCTTTCTCAACTGTTGCTGCAGTAGAAGGGATTAACCAGATTGTAACTGGTGATCTAATCTCTCTATCAGAGCAGGAGTTGGTAGATTGTGATAGATCATATAACCAGGGATGCAATGGAGGTCTTATGGACTATGCCTTTGAATTTATTATCCAAAATGGTGGTATTGATACTGAACAAGATTACCCATATGAGGCTGTTGATAATGTTTGTGATCCATACAGGGTATGCTAAATTTATTTATTTACTTAATCTTTGTTCTGTAGTTACATTGGTATATTGATCGTTCTAATTTTATTTGTTGTTCTTGCATCTTTTAGAAAAATGCTAAGGTAGTTACTATTGATGGATATGAAGATGTTCCTGAAAATGATGAGAAATCCTTGAAGAAGGCTGTGGCAAATCAGCCAGTTAGTGTTGCCATTGAAGCTGGTGGCAGGGCTTTCCAACTTTACCAATCGGTAATTACTCTTTATTGCCAAATGAAATTATCTCATTTGCAGTTTAACAAGAGCAGTGTTATATTTTGTGAGTACTAGTTATACAGAAACTATTATAATTCCTATTCTTTTGGTTTGGCATAATTTTGTTAACTCAACTCAATATATGTTATGCATCAGAATCATATAACAAGTTGAATATATAAAGTACAAATCTTTGCTGGCATTGATTGTTTTGTACTTGTCTTTAATTTTACTTCCTCAATGCAGGGTGTTTTTACTGGTAGATGTGGTACACAGCTTGACCATGGTGTGGCTGCTGTTGGATATGGCACAGAGAATGGTGTAGATTACTGGTTGGTGAGGAACTCATGGGGTCCTGATTGGGGTGAAAGTGGTTATATCAAGTTGGAGCGTAATTTGGCCACCACCACAACTGGAAAATGTGGAATTGCAGTGGAGGCTTCATATCCAACCAAGAAGGGTCCAAATCCCCCTAATCCTGGCCCAACCCCTCCATCTCCGGTCAACCCTCCTCCTCCAAAGCCCTCCACTCAGTGTGACGATTACTTTTCATGCCAAGAGGGAAGCACCTGCTGCTGCATATATGAGTATGGTAGCTATTGCTTTGGATGGGGATGCTGCCCTCTTGAGTCTGCAACCTGCTGTGATGACCACTATAGCTGCTGCCCTCATGATTTCCCTGTCTGCGACCTTGAAGCTGGAACCTGCCGATTGGTAAACAAAACATATAAATCTTATTTTTGTCAAAGAAATTTAAAAGATGTTTGATAAGTGTATTGACTTTTTTCTTCTTTTGCTGATGGCAGAGTAAGGATAATCCATTGAGTGTAAAACCATTCAGACGTAGTCCTGCTCAAAGAATCGGTTCTCACCTTCGCGGTGGCAAGAAAATTATTGGTGCTTGAAAGCTCAGGGTCTGCAGGACATTCAGCAAGTGAGGCTTAAACAGAGAATTGTTTCCTATTGCATCATAGGAGGATTTAGCAAGGAAGAAATGCTTTTTATCTCACCCTATTTAAACAATTACTGAATGTTTGATTTTCTTTTTTTTTTTTTTTTCCTTTTATGATTTATTGGTGACTATTGTAAATACTTTCAGTTTGAGCTAAAGCAGAAACTGAACTATAACCAATTAGGATATATAGTTCACCTGAATTTGTAAAGTCACCAACTATTGATTCTCATTAATTAAGATTGCTGGTTTATTACATGCTTGTGTTAAGATATTTTATATATGAAGTAACATGATTTTCACTGGCTGGAATGGACACTTGATGCGGATGTGAAGTGGCCATATTCAAGAAAATACCGTACAAAGTTAAGTTGGGTTTGTTGAGTTTCTTTCAATTAAAAAGAAACAAAGCAACACGAAACTACTTCCCTGCAATGCAAGAAGAATGAGAGGTTAACTGTCAATTTCTGTTCCACTTCTGAATATTAAAGAATAATATATATTTTCCCTAATTTGATTTCTACCACAATTGAAAGACAACTCTCCTTTTTGGCTCTGCATGTGGAAACCTAATTTTGCAAAGGATGGAAGTTGGCTTATTTATCCCTCCCAATGACAATGTTGAGGAACTGAATCGTTGGTGCACAAATCAAATCCTAATTGCTCTCTCGTTCTATTTGGGTTGTGATTAAATCACATGCGTGCTGATCAGCTGAAGCTCTAAATTTACTTGGCTGTAAAACGCACGCTAATAGAAAATATTGGCTTTAAAATATGAATCAATTGACTTTAGGGGCTAAAATGAACATTTTTCTTATTCTTTTTCTGCTTTTTTTTTTTTTTTTTTTTTTTTAATCAATTGACTATTAGGGCTAAAATGAACATTTTTCTCTATTCTTTTTTCTGCTTTTTTTTTTTTTTTTTTTTTTTTTTTGGTATTTTACTTTTGATTATAGAAAATCTTTCTAAATGAGTTGATTCATTACTTTGGAAATAAAATAAAATCTAAATAAAACATATGTTTTTTTTTTTTTTTTTTTTTTTTGGTATTTTACTTTTTGATTATAGAAATCTTCTAAATGAGTTGAATTCATTACTTGGAAATAAAATAAAATCTAAATAAAAATATGGGAGCGCTCCACTATCGCTGTTGGGCTAAGATCCAAATTAATTGGATAAATAAATTTTGGATACTGAATAATAAAATAAAAATAATTAAAAGTAGTTTTCGGAATGATAAAATAAAAATAACTAAAAATAGCTGGAGTTATTTTTTTGAGAACAAAATAAAAAAATTTATTTTATTTTTAAAAGTAAAAATTCTAATCTATAAATAAATTTATCAAATTATTGAGAGTAAAATGAATAATAGTAGTAACCAAAACACACACACACACACACACACACACACGCGCGTAACCTAGAGTCATAGTTAAGCGCATAAACCTGGAAAGAAAGAGAGAGGACCTTCAATTCACCACTTCGAGCAGAAGGAAATCCTTCAGTTCGAAGTCTGAGGTATGTTGATCCTTTAGCTTCTCTTATTATTTCAAAATTTTCACAGTTCATATGAGAGAGAGAGCTATTCCAGACGTTATCTGCTTTATTTTTCTGTTTGGAATTTCAAACGTTGTCCAATGGTTTATTGCTAAACCTGGATTTGGAGGATTAAATTAATTGTCAACTCTTGTAATGTTCTAAGTGATAAAATCCTAAAAATCGTATCTTTTTTAATCTTGATGGCAAATTGTTTTCTTTTTATCTACATTCTTTTAAAAGGATATCCAAAAATTGATTCTTTACTGCTAAAAACAGAGTTTTTGTGCAAAAACAAAAACTGATTCTTTGCATCAAAATGGTTTATCATGCGGTCTAATTTATCATTACTTTTACAGGTTAAAAGATAATTATTTGTGTGTAATCAACTGACGCAGATTGAAACCAGCATTGATCTCCATTCAGTAAAATGGCTTTGCAACTTATAGTAACCAATTTTATACGTGCTTTCTTGGCGCCCTTTGAAGAAAATTCAGACAAGGTCAGTTTTCTTGAACCTGATCATTGGAAATTTGTAAATACTTTTGTAAATTTTAATAGGCTTTTGCACTAAAATTTAGTATTTGTTGCACCAACCAAACACTTGTCAACCAAACCCATTAGGCAGACAAACCAAAATGAAGCAGTCAATTCCAGAGGCTTCAGTAACCTGCTGCTCTGGGTACCATATCTGATGTTCTATTTTATATGGTTTATGAACTGCTGTAGATTAACAACTTAATGCCTGTCTAAAAATTCTTGTGTAAAGGAATGCTTACAATATATGTTTTGGTTTTCTTGACAATTTATCCAAACATTGTGTTTTTTAACCATGTAGAATGATTGTTTTGAGGAGGATTGCATTAGTCAGCTGCCAGATGAAATTCTTGCTTCAGTTTTATCATAGTTGACAGTAAAAGATGCTGTTAAAACAAGATTGTTGTCAAGAAAATGGAGGCATCTGTATTTATCGTATCTCCATGCATCAAGGTCGGAGCTCAACTTTGACTGTAAATCGGCTGGTTTAGATTACACTAAATCTCATAAATGTCAACAATATACATGTGCATTTGTGCAATGGGTAAATAAGTTCTTAAACCAGTATAAAGGTCCGAACATCAGTTCCTTTAGAGTGGCTTTTTGCCTTGGCCCGAAGTTTGCTTATGATATCGATCGATGGATCACTTTTGCAGTTAAGCTGGGTGTTGAGCAGCTGAAGATTATCTGTTCATGCTATGGTATCTCATACAGAAAACAGCATGAGTTATATGCTTTTTCTTTCCAGCATTTGTCTGATGCATCCGAGTTGAAGCATCTGGAATTAAATTCTTGTATACTGAAACAGGATTTTAATGGCCAATTACATTCCTTGAAGTTCATTGATTTAATATTCACCCCACTAGATCAAAGTATACTGCTATTTATTTTGTCAATGTGTTGTAATCTTGAAAGACTGAGATTGGCTTGGTGTTTGTGTCCTGCTGTTTTGAGCTTTTGTGGTCCATTCCTGCAGTTGAAGATGTTGACTGTATCTTTTTGTAAAGGATTGGAGGAGATTGAGCTCTCTGCTACAAATCTCACCACTCTTGAGGTTTTCGGTGATCGAACAAATTTTAACATCGTGTTCTCTGATGTTCCCAATCTGCAAAATGTTCTTTGTCAAAAGCCATGCACAAGTAGCTTTCCAGATGATTTATTCAAGCAATTTGAGAATGCTGCTCCTCAACTTCAATCTCTAATACTGTCCAGTACTACAAGATTGGTATGCCAATTTGTCATATTTCATAGTTATATCATGTTTTGATCCAGCATGTCCTATTTCTCTTTCTGATTATATGTACTGTTTCTAATTTTGTTTTCCTCTTTATGGGGCATTCCAGCTGAAGTATATACCTAGTAGCATAGCAACATTTGGCAATTTGAAGCAGCTGGAATTCATTTTCTATTCCGGCAATGAACCTTATAATATCTGGAAGATTATTCCTGTTTTAATTGCCTGCCCTCTTCTTCAGATATTTAACTTGACGGTGAGTCAACTACTTTTCTTTTGTAGTTTAAACTTTTCTCTTAGACTGCTTTCAGTTAACGGCTTGTTTTCGGTTGCTGTGACCTGATATGTGTTTTTTCATTTAAGTATATCCAACCAGCATTTTCAAATTCAGGTCAAGGATTATAGGATCCAATTCCAAGATCCTCTTTCACAAAATAATGGGTTCTGATTTCATTTTTAGTCCAACAAATATTTCATGATCTTTGTGCTTTTCTACATATATATATAAATATTAACTATAATCATCTGGAGATTGTAGATAGATGCAGCTAATGTATTGATTAGTTGAAAGATAGCTCTGTTAATGAAAGTTATGTCTGTTTAGCAATTTGATATCTGAGTTAGCAATATGTTAACATATGCATTTCCAATGTTCCATATACGAACTGATATTATGGTACTTGTTACAGATAAGACTGGGTATACATTTATATGATGCGGTTAATATTGAAGAAAGAACAATGAAAGAAATCCAGAAATACCATTATTCTCGCTTGAAAGAAGTTGAAATTGGTGGATTTCAAGGCACTGAAACTCAACTTGCATTGGCGTTATATTTTCTGAAAAATGCAGTTGAGCTCGAACGGATGGTTATTAGTTCTTGTTTCTGGGAGTATCTTACATCTAGCAAGCGTACATATCATTAATTGGTGACTTGGACTGATGGGATGCATAAAAACATCATTGAACAATTGCAAGGAAAGGCAACATCCAAAACTGCACGACTGATTATTTATAAAGGTCAGTATTTACTGATTTGCATTAAAGATTTAGCTTTTATTTGGAATAAATGAATTTCATGAAATTTCGTGAAATTCATTTATAAATCCAAATTTTGTGTTTCGCATGAAAAAATGGAAATTCTACATTCAATTTTATCAAAGGATTAAATAAACTTAAGCAATTCAAAAATTTGTGATAAAACTATTCATTCTAAATTTATAAAATTATTATGCTAAGAGTATTTTAGGAAATAAAAGGAAATGATTTTCAATTATTATACCCTCTAACGGTTGGACTTGTGATGTGTCAGGTCTGCCACCGCAGGGCAAGGTGCAGGACTGATTGTTTATGAAGTCATTATTTTTATTTCTTTCTTTAAAGATTCAAGCTTCATCATGAATTTTTTTTTTCTGTTGATACATAAAAAAACAAATGGGGGATAATTATTAATATATCCTCTTAACGCGTTGGACGTATGATGTGTTAAGACTTCTGCCACTTATTCCTAAGGGTTGTTATGTTACTTAAAATTTCATCTGAAAGAAATGGGTTTAATGCCAATTGTAGCATATTTTTTATTGGTTTCATTTTATGGGCATTGAAATCCAAAACATTGCTATTTAGTATGTTTGTTTTAATTATGAGGGTGAAACTATGGCAAAGAATGAAGATTTTCTTTATCTATACTGAAATTTATACTAACCCTTAGATTAACATTATTTAAATATAAGTCGTAGATTTAAAAATGTTTAAATGACTTTTTACCTTTAAAACAAGTTATTCATTTTTTGAAAAGAAAAATTCAGTTTTATTCATTTTTTATGATTATTTTTAAGATTTAAAAAGATATATACTATATTAATTATTTTTAATAAATGATTAAAGCATAAAATTAGAGAAATAAATTAAAAATTTCAATACTCGCACATAATTTTCTTTTCACAATGTATTAGATTTAGATTATCTAAATATTAATTTTATGCATCTAATAAATTAATTAAAACAACCTCAAGATATCAGTTCCTACATCGAAATAAATTAATTAAAACTAATAAATAATCAATTTTTCTTTTTTTTTTTATAATGCCAAATTTGCTTTTAATTTATCAAAAATTGTATAATTTTAAATTTTCAATTAACTTTGTGAATATATAATTATATATATATTATTTAATTAATATATTTTATTAAAAGTCCTAAATCATAATATTTTATGGTATTTACATCTAATTTTTTTAATCAATTATCTTTAAAGTGACATGGATTTTACATATCTTCGAATGAGATTATATTATTATAAAGTATTTCATATTCTTATTGTAATATTTATATAAATCTCAATCGCATATTGTATATATGCTTTTTTTTTTTTTTTTTTTTTAATATATTTTTATTTAAAATGTCCTAAATCATGAATATTTATGGTACTTTACATCTAAATTTTTTTTAATCAATTATCTTTAAAGTGACATGGATTTCTACCATTATCTTCGAATGAGCATTATATTATTTATTAAAGTATTTCAATTTCTTATTGTAATATCTATATTAAATCTCAATTCGCATTCATTGTAATATATGGCTTTTTTTTTTTTTTTTTTTTTTTTTTTTTTTTTTTGAATGAAGCATAAATTTAGAGTTATATATATTTTTCGAAAGATAAATAAAAGTTATTTAAAAGAATACAAAGAAAAAGTAATTTATAAAAGACCTATTTAATGGGCAACCAGTTTTATAGCAAACACGTGTCACTTAAATAGAGTTTTGTATCTATACGGAAATTGTTAACTATGTATAATTGTAAATAGCAATGGACACCGGTTCGGTTCGAACCAAAATCGAACCGTAATGTAGATGAACAGGAATCGGCAGTTCAAAATTTTAAACCGGAACCAACGGTTTAAGGGCGGTTAAGGTTTATATGAATGTTAAAATATGAACCGGAATCGGCGGTTCCGCTCCTATTTGAACTGAAAATTTTCTATTTTTATTTTCAAAATGATAATTACTTAGCCTATTTTATACATTCTAGCCTATTTATACATCTCTAAAAGTCCTCAATAATTATTTTACTAACATGATATATTTTAGCTTAAGATTATTTATTTTTTAAATTACAACTTTAGCTTTAAAATTAGAAAATTAAAAAGTAAAAGGTATTAAAAAGAGAGAAATATTTAGTCTAAACTTATATTAGTTTTTAACTTTTTTTTTGTCCTTTTAAATGTTTTGCTAAACGTTTAAATTACAGTTCTTTGAACATTTTTCAAATTTTTCTTATAACTTTATTTAATTGTAATAAAATTAAACAAAAATAAATTGATAATTTATTTGATTATTTTGTAAATTAATTAATTTTATTCCTATATGAGTATAAGCATTCCTAATATTTATTTAAAAATAAAATTTACCAATATTTTTAAACTTTATATTTAAAATTTTTGTAAAATTAATTAATTTTATTCCTATGTGAGTATAAGCATTCTAAAATTTATTTAAAATAAAATTTACCAATATTTTTTAAACTTATATTAATATGTACAAAAGAAAGATGTAACATTAAAACCGATTTTTTTTAAAAAAAACATATATCGCTAGAAACCGTTAACGGAACCATCAGTTCATCGGAACCGTGCTGGAACCGGCGGTTCAAGGGCGGTTCAGGTTCTACATTTTAAAAAATTTGAACCATCAGTTCCGTGAACAGGAACCGGTGGTTCAATGAACCGACCATGCCTAAGTTGTAAAACCCTAATTTTGAATCTTCTCGGATCTCTTATCTTTATGAAGTTAAGTTAACTTGTACTAAAAAGTTAAAACACTGATTATATTATTGTCCACATTAATTCGCTTATTCTCTTTTCTAACATTTAACTGCATTTAGGCTCTATTTATTTTCAAAAAATAACTTATATAAAAATTAATTTTTTTACAATTTTTCAGTATTTAGGGTGCTCAGAAAAATCAATACATGAAAAATATTTTTCTAGTCGAAAAGAAAATTAAATCATTTTTATGGATAACGACTTTTCATTTTTATAAGAGGAAATCATTTTTTAGATTGATAAATTTAATATAACTTTATAAATATTATTTATTAATTCAATAATCATTGTTAGCCACTACCACTGGCAGTCACCAAGGCCACTATTTTTATCATTTGTATTTTTTCATATTTAATAATTAATTTTTAAAATACAAACTTTCTATAATTATAAATATTTTTACGGTGTTATAAGTTAGAAATTTAATATTTTAATTAATCTTTAATATTGTAATCAAATAATATAAAATGAGTTGATATTTTTCAAAGATAGAAGAAAAAAAAAACATTTAACTACATACAATCTTTGTATGAATGCAGAGATTAAATACTATATTTATGTGTACAATATTCAATGGGTATTCTAACGAAAAAAAATTTATGGTTTCTTTGCAAAATTTCTACCACCATAAATAATTTTCAAGGAGCATAAACATTAGATATGGTTTCATATTGCTTCATTGAAGAGATGAACTACTTTGATTCAATAAGGAAGAAAAGTAATCTTTGACCTTAAAAACAAGCTTCAATGTCAAATAAGATCTCTCTTCACTTATAAAAATGATTGGTAGTTAATTTTTAGTGGCCGTATTTTTAAATTAAGACCATCTTTGTACCCTAAAATCAAATTTCAAGAGAAAATTGCTAACAAAAAAAAATATTAAACAATATTAATTTGATTATATTTGTTTGTCTCTTTTTTTTTTTTATTTGGTAAAACACCCTAACTAAGTTCTTTGATTTGCCTAGATAATGATTTGTTTAAAAAATTAAGTGGTTGAATCACGAATTTAATTGGTGGATTAATGATTTAAGCAATAGTTATAAAAATAATAATGCTAGTGTTAATTAAATAATATAATTATCAAATAATTGATCCGAGTTTATTGAGTTTGTGTGAATCAACCTGTTCGACTATAGTTCGACCAATTCATTTCGATTCTCTTCCTTAACATAGCTTAGAATGAACCATCTTGATTTTGAGTTTGGTTCACAAGTTTTTCAAGTTAATCTACTAGCTAGCTAGGTTTAACAACACTACTCTTTACTCTCTTTTTTTTTTCTGCAAAATTAATTTTATTTTATTTATATATATTGTCCAAGAAAAACTTAATATATCAAAGCATTAATTATAGTCAATAGGCTCTCTCTTACACCCAAACTCAGGCTGAAAATATTAGGTAAAAGAATTTGATCAAAACCTCTTAAATGAAAAGATACAATAGATCCCATAAATGAATCACACAAATATTCTAAACAAAGTTTCATATAGAATTGCACTAATATTGAACTAGAATAAACCAAACCTAAATAATTTGCATATAGCAAATCTAAACTTGAAATAAAAGCATTTCTTGAAGTGAGAAATGGTAGCCAGCCAGCATAAAACTTTGAAGAAATTAGCAAAAAAGCTTGTTGAAAGCTCTAACAACCATTATTAAATCCAAGCCAAAATTTTATTTGTTGCCTCAACCCCCTTCTTTGCCAAACAATCTGCAAACTGATTACATGCTCGGTTAATGTCTAAACTTCACTTTATTCATTTTAGTTATTACGGAATCAAATTTGTTGAATCTTTCCTACCAACTTCAAGGCTGTTTTTGTTTTAAAGAATCTAACAAAGAGCATTTCGAGAGTCAAATTCAATAATCAATGGATAAGACTTATATTCAGATAACCAGTAAAAACTCTATAGCAAAGAAAATAGCAATGAGCTTCGCCTCATTTGAATCTAGCATACCAACTGAATTATAAAATCCACATACAATCTACCCCAAATAATTTCTTAAGATACCGCCCACCCGAGCAGGGCCTGGCTTTCCGATTGTAGAACCATCCATATTGAATTTCATTTTATCTTCACAAGATAATTCTCAACAGATTGAGGGATCTACAACCACAACCTTTTACTTGTCATGAAACCATTAGAGCATACCAGACATGGAAAAAGAATCCAATTATTAAAGCAAAAAGATAGAGAAGGGTATTTTGCTTTCAGAAGTTTAAAGCTTATGAGTTTTATGTTATTAAGTACCATTCCCACTTCTCTTTTAACATTATCAAAAACAAGTTTATTTCTACTAATCCACAGAGACCACAAGGTAATATAAAACAAAAGATTTCATGCAACATGGGATTCTTTTAAATAGAGCATACTTTCCCATTTCCACCCAATTCAATCAACTTATTATGGAGTATCCCTTTAACATCCCACCATTTCATGACAGCAATCCAAACTTTTTCACAAACACACATGATAATAAAAGAATAGTCTATGGTTTTAACATCATAATCACAAGAAGGACAACCAATCTGTGCATCTTTTTGAATAACTTTATGCTTAAACAAATTAGCTCAACATGGAATTTTATCTAAAAAGGCTCTCTGAGCTAAAACTGCAACTTTAGAAGGGATAAAAGAGGACCATAAACCTTTCAAGTTAATACATATCTCATTTGTGCTCAATTCTTTTTCCACAGTTAGAGAATATAAAGAATATAAGAAATACGTTCCTTCCATTGATTTTTAACACTACTCTTAACTTTATAATTTTAATCTAGTTTAACGAAGATCTATAGTGCTCTATAATTACAGATTTGGGTAACATTTGACACCTTTCCATACTATCAACTATAATTTTCAGAATTTTTATTTTTTTTTATATACAAAGTATTGCTTTAATGTACACTTAATAGAACTATTAAAATAATGATATTCACATTTTTCAACTTAAATAAATATTAAATTAATTTAAATTTTTATTAATTAGAGTGTTTAATAAAATAATTTCACAAAGTAACATGTTTACCATGTGGATTTTTATAAATTGACTAGTCTTTTGTATGATGTGTATTTCACATTGACTATACTCGTTATATACTCACTTTGCTGTACAAACTATTTGTAATGCTACTTTTTATGTAATTAATTCTATTTTTATATAATGAAGTTGTTTCAGAATAAAGTTCAATCCAATCCCTAGACCTAATTTTTTAGTCCCTGATTAATGCAAATTTTTAAAATAATAATAGATGCCTAAAAAGAAAATCAAGTCATCATTCAATCTCCAACTCTCTGTCCTCAAGCTCAAATCAATATCTATATACAACTATAATGAAAAATAATAATAAATTATTTTTTACTGCTAGATAAAAGAAAAGAAATGAAAAAAATATTTGAATTGATAATGAAAATCTCTTTGGCTACAGTAGCAGTATTACTTATCTAGTGTATCAGTAAAGGAATATATGCATATATACACAAATTCTTAAAACACCAAAAAGTGACCCAAATAAAAATATATAATTCTAGTTTTTTTTTCTAATTTACTAAACATAATTCAAACAAATTTAGGATATAAGAGAAAAAAATATCAAAAATAAAAATAAAAATGCTTAATCATCAATAGGCCATCTATGTATTGAAATGGAAATATAAATCTCTTACTAAATTAAAATGATAGTAGATACAAATTATTCAATAACGAAAAAGAAAATAAAAATTATTATTTAAAATAATTTTTTTTATAATTCACCTAATAAAAAAAACATAAAAACGTTTCAATGTATATAGATATATAAATATATCACTAGAATATTATATGTATTTTTTAAATTAAAATTTTCAACTGTCTACCATCCCGGATTTAATTTTATAAATTCTATTTAAAAAATTACTTTTTTAAAAATGTATCCAATCAAATCTTACAAATATAAAGAAGTCTCACCATTCGCGGATTTAAATTTTATAAAATTCTATTAAAAAATATTTTTTTTAACTTTAAACTGTTTTTAAAATGTAATGCCATCAAATCTTACAAATACTAAAGAAAAAAATATTAATAAATATAATACTTTTTTCTTCTTTTCTTACTCTCTCCTAAATAAATATTATAATATATATATACATATGTATTTTATTTGAAAATTTATTTTTTAAAAAAAATAATATTTTCTTTTTATCTCTATCTAAAAATTAAATATTTAATAAACAAAATATAAAAAATTTTTTCCAATGTCTATTTAATAAAAAAATATAAAAAATTTTCAAATGTCTTATTATCATATATATTATTAAAAATTAAATTTAGTAAAAATAAAATTTAAAATTGTAAAAAGTTTAATTATCTATATGTATTTGTTTAAAAAATATACTTTTTATTCATTGGGAAGTTTAATTTGACAAAAATTATGGCTACACAGTAAGAAATAACCCTTCAAATTGATGAAAACACTTGGTCAAAAGAACTCAAACTCAAAATATCTTACTCTTCTCATATAAGTGAGAAGATAATCAGACAACACATGATTAACTTAAAAAATGATTTTTATAAATACATCAAATCAACTAGTAAAACGTAATTTTTTAATTTATTATAATTAAGATTATTTTGGAATATCCTAAATTTCGTCTGGCTCTAACGGAAATCCTATTATTCCCTGTTCCACATTTATATACAGTATAAAAGTATTTAATATATCTAAATAAAAAAATTAAAGGTTTGATTAGATTTTTCTCCTAAAGTTTTGATGCTAATTTATGCATTTGGACGTTAAAAATACGTAGATGATATTTCATAATCTTTCCTGACCGTTGGATTATAAAATTAAATTGAAATATAATCATCCATCACGATTACTTTCTCTGCTGATTCGTTGACCAATTGATAATACTTGATAAATTTTCACGCCCCAATCTCTCTCCGTGTCTCTCTCTCTCTCTCTCTCTCTCTCTCTGAAACCCTAATTCAGCTTCACTATACCCTTGGCTTATACTCTGCGTGTGGTTCTAGTAAGGCAAGAATCATTTCCATAGATCTCAATTTGGTTAATTTAATTCACTCTTATGTACTTGTTTTGCTGATTTTGGTTTCAAATTGAGATGTCACCAATCTTTTTCTTTCTTTTTTCTTTTTTGATTTGAATCTTGGTTTCTCTGAATCCTGAAAATGCTTCTATTGCTATATCTTATTGTTACTCTTTAAATCGAGAAATAATTACCCAATTAACAAGTGGTAGTTAGTGTTGCAATGGGATGATGCTTAGAGTATATTTTGGTATTAAATTTAGTGTTAACAGCTAAAATCCGCCTGCCAATAATGGTTTCTTGTTGTCAACATTGTCTCTGTTTCCAAGATCAGTGGTCATTCTTATTGTCAACAGTCATTTCTTGTCATCAATGGGTTGACCTCGTAAATTTTAGTTGGCCTGGTGGGAGTATTTCTTATTCCATGATGTCATGTTTAAAATCTGAGAGAAGCTAATTGTAAATCAATGGTGAACTGCTCGATGGTGCAATTTTGCATTTGCCTTCACAGTTGCCCCCAACCCCTTCCTTTTCTTTTTGTTGTCACTAGTGTAGAGATTAGGAAAGGTGAATGCCAGAAACGAGATGGCTCTTTGCTTATCTTATTGCATTTATATTGTAACTGATTGCACTTGCTTTGGACATTGAGATTTAGGAGTTGGGACCTATATGGTGATTTTTTTTTTTTTTTTTTTTTTTACTTACTTACTTCTCTTCCTTTTGTTTTTCTCGAATTATTTTTGTAATATTTATATATGACTTCTTTTTTTTTTTTTTTTTTTTACTTACTTACTCTTCTTTTGTTTTTCTCGAATTATTTTTGTATATTTTAGTGCGTTATAGTGACTTCTTATATGTCATATTCTTGAATATTGTTCTTCATAATCATCAAGGCATCTGAGTCGAACGAATGGATTCTGGACCTGTTGATTCATCAACTTCGTCTGTTAAAGCTCCCGATGTACAAACTCATGCTGCTACAGATCCTGGAGTGGATAATTCCCCACGTGATGCGCCTCCAAAGCTATCTGCAGCTGGCATAACATCATGGGCCAAAAGTTTGAAAATTCCCCAGCCATTGGCTCCCTCACAAGGTGACTCACCAACTGGAAGCCCTGGAAAATCAACCTTTGCCCGTTTTACAAGTGGATTTGTACTGCGCTCATCTCCGAAATCTCCTGTAACTGATGATAGTTCTGAAGGGCCTTCATCACCTTCACAACCTGGTTTTATTGGAACAATCACTAAAGGTTTAGTTGATACATCTAAGAATGCAGTGAAGGCAGTACAAGTCAAGGCTCGTCATGCTGTCTCTCAAAATAAGCGAAGATACCAGGTAGGTTACTGTTTCTGCTGAGTTATTTGAATCTTAACTAGCAATGCAGATGATTTATTTCTTGTTCCTCCTTTGATGTTTCTGCCAAAATATACCTTATTGTGGTTTCCTTTTCAACTTTATATGATAAGCAACAGATGTCTGTGCCCTAGTGTACTGCCAATCTTAAACTATGTTCAATAGGGGTAGCTAGGAACTACTTATAACAGTTATGAGGAAGTTGGTAGCTGTTTGTTAGTATTTTATTTTTCTTACAAGTGAGCAGTATATATTTATGGAGATATCATCTATGCTAAGGGCAAACTTGTTATATCTTTCTTCTACATTTTGTTAAAAGGAGGAAAGAAAGAGTTGAATAAAAAAGTTTTTCAAATTACAAAAGCACTATTTTGGAAATCAAACTCTCTTGTCAATCAACTATCAAGTCTTCGCAATATCCCTTGTAGTGCATTCTGTATTCACAAAGGCAGGCCTTCAGTTTTCTCTCTCTGTTTCTACAGAATCTCTAAGGAATGAGGCAGCTGGTCTTGCTAAACCCTGTGAATTATCTTCATTGTGCTTGTAGATAATCTATATTTTTATCTGATTTTTTTTTCTGTTGCATTTTATAATTGGAATATGCTTTAAAGTATGTGCCTATTGCATAAATTTGTATCCTGAGATATGGATGTTTACATTTTAGAGAATTTCATACATTTTGACACCTGATTTGTTGCTTGGATACTTGCTTAATTAGGGGATAAGGATCCAGTGGGTAAAGATAATCTACGTAAATTTATTGATATCTGTTTTAATGCTTTTGGTAATACTTTCTATTATATGATGTATGTCTACACATTTTCTAATTGATTCCTATTACTTATCTTCAGGAAGGAGGATTTGATTTGGATATGACATATATCACAGAGAATATAATTGCCATGGGGTTCCCTGCTGGTGATATGAGCTCTGGTTTTTTTGGATATGTTGAGGTGAGCAGGTCAATCTGCCCTATGAATTGCCTTTAATTTTCCTAATCAATTGGATTGCCAATAATTTAACTATCAAGCTATGTGGTGCAGGGATTTTATCGAAATCACATGGAAGAAGTGATTAAGTTTTTTGAAACTCATCACAAGGTTTACACTTTATTGACTCTATACTTCAACTCGATTATGTCTTTTGTTATCTTTGTTTGACTTCAAATGAGTGCATATGGTAAACCTGGTCAATAATTGACTTGGTGATTAATATAAAATGATATTTTAAACTCTATTTGAGAACATGCTTTATAATATAATTTTTAGTTGTAGTTTTTTGCGTCTTGGAAATGAGTGCTTCTCATATTTTCCTTTTCTTTTTTGTGTGCGTGTGGAACTGATATGACCCGTTCTCTGCTTAATTGTTGATTATAATGATGGATGAAGTTTTCTCATTTTGCATGTTGGATTTGTGTATTTTGTGTTTGATTTGGCATTCCATGTATACAGCATCCTTACTGAGTATTAATTATGGTCATATTTATTGACTATGAGTTCGGGGCAACCCAATGATGTATTACCTCATTCTTTTGTATCAGTGTTCTGTCTATAACTGGCTCTATGTGATACATCCTTATGAGTTTTGTACCAAAAGTTGCAAGTTTTACCCTTTTCTAATTGTAGCTTAGTTTGGAGAGTTTGGATATTTGCATAAATACTTTACCTTAGATGTGTTTTCTACATGCAGGGCAAGTACAAAGTGTACAATCTTTGTTCCGAGAGGCTATATGATGCATCATTGTTTGAAGGAAAGGTGCGTCTTATTTTTCACCCAAGCTTATAAAGAATGAATATTTGTAGTCTTTTCATATCCAGGGTAGTGTCTGAGCTGCATAAGACTGCACATGCTTGGCTTGTCTTTCATTAGGTTTTACAAGGGATATCCATTCAGGGCAATTTTAAATCACAGTCATGTAGTTACGAATGCAAGCAAGGACACAAATGCGGTGTATTCATGTTAGCATACTGCATCTAGAGCCTAATTACTATTGGGGCAATTCACAATTACTATTGTGTTGATACAGTATTTTAAAAAGTATTTAAAACCATGTTTCAGAGTCTCAATTTCTTTAATTGAAAATACTAATCAACATGAAAAAGTTGAATGTCATCTAATAATCTTAATTTGGTAACCAATGAAAGCATGTCAGTTAAAATTCGGTATGCGGAAGAAAAAATTAAATATGCAACATTGCTAGGATCTTGTATTTGCTGGCTATAATGTTTTGTAGGCATGATTATCTGGAACTCTAATAAAATAAATCCAATATGTCCTGTGTCAGAAGTTTTGAGGGACTGCTTAAGCATCTCTTTTACATTATATTCAGCGTTGGAATTTTTTGCTTTTAGCTATGAACAGAGCAGACTAGAGACAAGATATTCATATAACCGACCGTAACTAGTTTTAAGGCTTAGTTGTTGTTCTTTTAAATATTTGATTTGACGATCATAGCAATGATGTTAGAGCTTCAAAATGAGCAACGAGATTTTTTGTTGCAGGCTGCAAAATGCATGCATATTAAAGTCTGTTCTTACCTGGTATGAATTCAAATAATACATGGTAATAATTACTCTTGCAGGTTTATTTGCTTGGTTTAATGTTGAAATTTATTGCAACTTGGATGTTGTATTGGATATATGATATTTAGGTTCAATTCTCCTATTGATCACTCTCTTAATGGTTTGGCATCAGTTTTATTTGTAATCGATACAGGATGTTTTTAAAAGCTTAATCTTGCTCTGGTGGTCCCTCCGTTGAACTTAGTACCCATAGAAACAGTATATTTATAATTGGTACATTGAATTCTTTCAGGTGGCTAGTTTTCCATTTGATGATCACAATTGCCCTCCAATTCAACTTATCATATCATTTTGCCAAAGTGCTTATTCATGGTTGAAGGAGGATATTGAGAATGTTGTGGTGGTGCACTGTAAGGCTGGAATGGCAAGGACAGGGCTAATGATTTCTAGCCTTCTTCTATACTTAAAGGTACAATTTTATTTATTTATTTATTTACAATTTATTCTTGATTGAAGATGAGTTTGGTGGAGTATCTAGTGACCTGCACATGCTTTACTTTTACTGCTGAGTCTTTAATTGTTGACTAGTTCCCCCTCTTTCTCTAGTTCTTTCCTACAGCTGAAGAATCCATTGACTACTATAACCAGAAGAGGTGTTTTGATGGAAAAGGGCTTGTTCTGCCAAGTCAAATTGTGAGTTGATTATTGCTTACCTATTGAAAAATGCACATTCAGGATATGTCATCTCTTTTGAAGCACCTTTGCATGTTATCTGATTGTTTTTGTTTGCTCCTTTTTTTTTTTTTTTTTTTTCCTGCAGAGATATGTAAAATATTTTGAACGTGTCTTAACATACTTCAATGGCGAAAACCAACCAGGGCGTAGGTATATTTCTGGCTTAGCATTTGAAATAAGCCCCCCTTTTTTTTTTTTCCTGCAGAGATATGTAAAATATTTGAAACCGTGTCTTAACATACTTAACTGCGAAAAACAACCAGGGCGTAAGGGTATATCATTCTGGCTTAGCATTTGAAATAGAGCCCCCCCCCTCCCCCCCTTCTCCCCCCCCCCCCCCTTCTCTCTCTCTCTCTCTTGTTTAATGACATCATATTCATGCAGGTGCATGCTTAGGGGTTTTCGTCTTCACCGATGCCCTTATTGGATTAGGCCTTCTATTACTGTCTCTGATCATAATGGTACTTGCTACATTTTCTTCCTTTTTCCCCCCCTTAATAACTCGTTTAATTGAATTGAATTTGTTTGGTAGTCCATGATAAGGTCAAAGCTTTCATCTGCAAATTTTCTTTTTTCCTCTTCCTTTATTTGTTTTTGGTTTGACCTGATCTATTGGAAGGCCGTATGTGCTTGTACTCCATGTATTTATCATTATAATTGTTCATGCAAACCCTCTCACGTACTTGAATATTTTTTGGGTTATGCACTTCTTGTGCCACATCTATGCTTGTCCCATGAGTTGTCATGGTTTTGTATGAGAGAGACTTTTTTTTTTTTTTTTTTTTTTGTGCCACATCCTTGCTGCGTGTCCCATGAAGAGTCTTGTCATGGTTTTCGGTATGAGAGAGACTTTTTATATTTTTTTTCTTTTATTGTGGGTGCTCTCGACTACGTACTTATTTATTACGAGGACATGTTTCCTAAGGGAGATTGTGCACTCCATTAGACGCTCGAACAAAAAGGATTTGTTTGTGACAATGGACTCTTCTTTCATATCACTTCTAATTTTTTTTTTTTTTTTTTTTGTCGAATTATTACGAGGAATGTTCCCTAAGGAGATTGTGCACTTCCATAGACTCGAACATAAGAGATTGTGTGACAATGACTTTCTTTATCATTCTAAGCTCTAAGCTACTTTCCATAGATTGAGTACAAGGTCTTTTTTTTTCTCCTTTAGCAAATAATGACTGCTACTGCAACAGAACACACCAAAATCGATACAGCAAAGCCAGGGGATTATTCAGGCACAAATATAAGAGGATGTGCTAAGATTACAGTAAAAATCAGGAAAATATAGGATGGAAATACAAGTTAAAGCTAAAGTTTATGGCACCATGGCTTAATAAAATATAATTTGATATATTTCTCTGTAACAGCTTGCACATTCTTTAATTCTTTCCTTATCGACAGGTGTTCTCTTCTCCACAAAAAAGCATCCTAGAACCAAGGAATTATCGGTAGGTGTTCTGAAACATTTGGTAGATAGTCTTGCCAATGCTCCATAAGAGATTATCTGGACTTCTGGTCTTAGCTCAGTTTTGACTTTGAACTAATTTTTCACTTTTTCCTGTATGAGTTATGACACATGTATAATTCTCTCTGCAGCCAGAAGATTATTGGTTTAGTGCACCAAAGAAGGGCATCATGGTCTTTGCTTTGCCTGGGGAACCTGGTCTAGCCGAGGTTGCTGGAGACTTTAAAGTCCATTTTCATGACCGCCAAGGAGATTTTTATTTGTTAGTATATTTATCCGGTTCCCTTTGAATGTGTCCTTTAGATTTTAACGATTGAAATATCATGCAATGCTGATTACTCTCTTCTTTGTTCTCCTTATTTCAGTTGGTTAAATACAACAATGATGGAAAATAGAAAGGTTTTGAACACCGGTGACATCGATGGGTTTGACAAGGTATAAACATGGGCTGCTTTATTATGCATATGATATTCCCTTGTCCTTATTGATTATAGTCAGGGGAATTGGTCCTCTGTCAACATTACTGTTCTTCAATGCCACGTCTTCTTGGTGCTCATGACTGACAATAACAATCTGGATGGATTTTTGTGCAGAGAAAACTGCCTTCCCCTGGATTCCAGGTCGAGGTTGTGCTAGTAGATTACAATGGCACTGTTCCATCAAGTCAAGACAGTGAGGCTGCTGCTAACAAGTCGAATGAAGGTTCAAGTGCTGCTCCTGGTCCAGTTGATACTGGTGTGGCAGCAGCTGTTCCAAACCAAGATAAAGAGCGCGGAAGTAATGATAAAGATGATGTATTTTCAGATGGTGAGGCAGAGGAATCTGTGTCCTCGAAACTAAAGCAAGCTCAAGCTGCTTCTGCAGGGGAAAGAACTGCCACCACAATCACCTCCAGTGAGGAAACTAATACAAAATCAGATCAAGTTGCAAGTTTAACACGCGCAACTGAACAACTCTCTCTTGGAAACACAGGCTCACAACCTAGTGCTACTCAGCCAAAAAGCGATGCTGTTGGTGAAGCAGCTGTCTTAGGCCTTGGGATTAACAATTCAGAAAGTGAGTTCAAAGCAATGGCTGCTGATGTTTCTGTTTTCACTTTTGGAGACGACGAAGATTATGAAAGTGAATGAAGAAAAGGAAAATGTTGAGGTCTTGATTGAAGGTTCTGTACATAAATTGGCTTGCAAGTTATACAGGCACCAGTCGCCTTTGGTTCAATCTATTTCTTTATGAGAATGTAAATGTCTGCTTTTTCTGGCTTATCAGTTATTCAAAGTCAAAAGTAGAGGCTGAAGGAATTAATAATTTGTTGCATTAAGATTGTGGTGGTATTTGTTTCATTATTTTCATTAAAAAATGTACATTATGATATTAGTGTTGTACAAATCTGTCTTCATTAATCTTTGACATTCGGAACTGATTATGTTCTCTAAAATGTTTAACCATGGGGTGGGCATTGGGTTTAACTGAACTGGATCAGCTTGTTTCTCTCTGGCCGAATGCTTTTTTATGACTATCGAACCCACAATCGAATGATACTGAACAAATTCAGTTATTTTGAATAAAGTTAGTTGTTTGAATGATACTGAACAAATTCAGTTGTTTTGAATAAAGTTAGTTGTTTTAGGCGTAAAAATAAATTCAGCTGTGTATATATATTTATATATAATTAAGCTTTTCAAATAGAATATATAATTAATTTTTTCAAAATGTTTAAATTTTTATGTTTTATAATTTATTTTTAAATAAAATGAATATATGTACGTGTGGAATGATAAACAATTGAAAATTTTAATTTAAAAAAAAAATATAAAATGAATTATATTACGTGTTTGGAGAATGATAAACAAATTGAAAATTTATTTAAAAATATATATAAATATATTATATAATATTATATTATTGATATACAATTATTAGGTGATGTTTGATAAAATTTTTTAGATATACTGTAATGATTATTAATATTAAATTGAATGCTGCGGTGTATTATGCACATTTACTATTTTTACTAATTAATAGTAAATTATAAAAATACCTCAAACTTGTGTGCGAAGATTGACAGAGGAATTCACTCGTTATTTTTGGACGTTTTTGAACCATAGGCATTTTCTATTTAAAAACTTATATGTATTATTAGCATCCAAAATAATTTATGGTAGGGATTAATAATAAAAAATTATTTTAGTGGGATCCACGATCATCCTTGAGTTAAGCTTAACCCAAGGTTCAAAGTCAAATAACAACTTCGTTTTCTTAAAGGAACCTAAACGCTTGGGAAATCTCTTCCCGCTCTCTTTGGAAGACGACATTCTGCAAACTTCCTCCTTTACAGCTTCCCATTGTAGCTTATGGAACTCTCTCTTTGCTCTCATCCCATGGTTTAACTTTGCGCTCTATCTCCCACCTGCGATAAGTGTAAGATTTGATAATCAGAGAGAGAGGAACGATAGAGAGATTAGAGAACGGGAGAGAGGTAATCTTCCTATTCTTTTTCTACTCGCATTTTTACCTCTTTTCTCCTTATCTTCTAAAAGCGCACTGTTGATATTTTCTAAATTGAAGATGAAATCATAAAATATTTAAACCTTTTACCCCCCAAACATTCTTTACACAATTTCATTTTTTTTTTCCATCCAAAATTCGTCGTTTCTATACCGTTTCCTAATTAAAGAAAGGGGATCGATTCTTAAAAATTTGATGTTGTTTGGTCTTGATTTTTACTAAAGCTCAGGCACTATAGGTCCCACAATCACCTAATTTTAGGCTTGGCAATTATGTTTGGAATGTGATGATGCGATTATTATTGGGAATGTGAATTTATTTCATTTTTCTGATTTGCGAAATTTTTTGCAGAAATTTATTTGTCATTTTATTAATTATCTTTGATTACTGGTTTGAAACAAAATTGGTATATAGTTCTGACTCTCTACATTGTGCGAAGTTTATGGAAAATGTCATTTGGCTGGAATTTTTTTTTTAAGCATCAAGTGTTGTCTTTGCAGAATATCATCTGTAATTGGATAAAAAGTATTAAGTGAGTGATTAATATATTGCACTGCTTCACTTTCTCTCGCTGAGATGATTATGGTTTTCATTTTGTTTACTTTTTGAGTTCACAGTATGATGATTTAAATAGGTCCATGAAAAGGGTTTGGAGGAGATTTTAGCATATCAGTAGTTTTTTTTTTTTTTTTTTTTTTTTTTTTTTTTTTTTTTTTTTTTTTTTTTTGAGAAAAAGCATATGCAGTAGTTTGATTCCAATGATTTTGTCCAAATGGTGCGTATTATATTGAATTTTACTAGCCTTGGGTTAAGCTTACCCAAGGTACTAACGTAGGCCCCGGTAAAATATTTTTTATTCTAATTCCTAACCCTATATGCATTCTCGGAGTACTAATATATCTGTACTAATATATCTAAGTTTCAAAATAGGGGTGCTCAGGTGCAAAGGTCAAAATAAATATAGAAAAGTTTGGAGTATTCTTGTAGGTTTGATCATTAATTAACAGTTATATTCACATTAATCTCATATGAAATTTAGTTTTAACGTTATAAAAAATTAAATAATATAACAAAAATTATAGTTAATATTTAATATTAAAAAATAAAAACGAGTATAAATAATAAATAAAAGTGATAATGACATAAAAAATGTATGAGTACGAATAATGAGTATGAGTACGAATAATAAGTATAATTAACGTGCAATGCATGTCCTAAAAAGACTAATTCTATTAAACGAATATATGATAAGAGAATGTACCATATAAAAAAAAAAAAAAAAAAATTTATGAAGTTGACTTGACACTTATCTTTTGAGTATTTCTTTTTTTTTTTTAACAAATTTTTGAGCTTTTTTCTTTAAATTTAATTGGACATAAAAACATTTTTTAAATTTTAATCTTATGTATCTAAAAACTATTATCTATATACTCTCTTTCGGTTAAATCTCAATCCTCGTCTATCTATTATTGGTTTAAGTTAATAAATAGATGAGAATTGAAATTTAAGTTAATTTCTCAATGGAGCACAATATTCAGGTATGCAATCTAGCATGGAGTAAGAACATGAATGTATTGGTTAACATTGTGTTAGGAGCTATTTGTTTGGTTCTGTTAAATAAAAGTCCTATTCTTTAGGAAGTCCTATTCGTTGGGATTGTTAGGATTTTTCTGCTGTATTTTTTCTTTTATCGTTGTGCTATTCCTGTAAGGCTATATATTGCCAGGTCTGATTTCAATGAATGTAGACTGAAAATCCAATTGTTTGAGTTCTCTGTTCAATCAGTTTTTCTGCTTAAACTTAACAATTGGTATCAGAGCCCCCACTGGGTTTCTGAAAAAGAAGGAAGCAAGTAATCAAACACAGAGAGAATGTCAGACGACAAAACCTTAACAAAAATTCCTCACTTCGATGGTCACTATGATCATTGGAGTGAATTGATGGAAAATCTGCTCAGAGCAAAAGGTTTATGGAGTTTGGTGGAGAAAGGTTTTACGGAACCACTAGAAGAGACGAAATTGACCGAGGCTCAACAGACGCAGCTTGATGATGATAGAACCAAAGATTATCAGGTAAAACATTACCTGTTCCAGGCAATTGATCGAATCGTCTTTGAACAAATCTTGGACCGTCGCACATCCAAGATTGTTTGGGACTCATTGAATCGAAAATTTGGTGGAAATCAAAAGGTGAAGAAATCACTTCTTAATGCATTAAGAAGAGAGTTTGAAGTCCTGGAGATGAGAAATGATGAAACAATCACAGAGTATTTTGCTAGAGTAATGCTGGTTGCTAATAAAATGAGAAGCAACGGAGAAGAAATGCCAGACAAGAAAATTGTGGAGAAAATTCTACGCACATACATTTATGTTTTGTAGTATCCATCGAAGAATCAAAGGACACTTGATACTTATGGTCCATTGATGTAGTTCAGAGTTCATTAGTGGTGCCTAATTCTAAATGAACAAAATTTCGGACCCCAGTAACCAATATGAGGATGCAAGCTCTGGAAAGTTATATATATATGATCGAACACAAGCAACCAGAGGAAGGAGCTTTACAGTAGGAAGAGGGCGTTGGAAGAGGCAGAACAAAGTTTCAACAATTGGCAACTGCTGAATGTTATAGATGTCATGACTTAGTGACATTTTCAAGTATGGAATGTCCTTAAGATAACGAAGCAAATTATTGCTGAGTCAAAATAGACTGCTGTTAACCTATGTTGAACTTCATTGAAGCAAATGAATGTTATAGATGTCATGACTTAGGACATTTTCAGTATGAATGTCCTAAGAATAACGAAGCAAATTATGCTGAGCTCAATGAAGAAGATGAGCTGCTGTTAATGGCCTATGTTGAACTTCATGAAGCAAAGAGAAGAGACGCATGGTTTCTAGACTCCGGTTGCTCAAATCACATGTGTGGTGATGAAAGTATGTTTTCAAGTTTAGACACAACCTTTACTCACAGTGTCAAACTTGGAAATAATACCAAAATGAAAGTTACTGGAAAGGGTACTGTGAAACTGTTTTTGTAGGGAAACTGTTACACTGTTGGAGAAGTGCATTGGGCACCGGAACTCAAGAACAACCTTTTAAGCGTTGGACAGCTTCAAGACAAGGGGGTAACAGTGCTGTTCAAAGGTGGAGCATGTAGCATTTATCATCCACAAAAGGGAAAAATCGCAGAATCGATTATGAGTGCAAACCAAATGTTTATTTTGCTGGCAGAATCATCAAACACAATAGGTGAAGGAAAATGCCTACAAGTTTTAAATACGAATCAATCAACACTTTGGCACTATCGTTATGGCCATCTTAGTTACAAAGGTCTCCGTATTTTGAAACACAAAAACATGGTAGAAGGTCTGCCACAAATTGTTGATCCAAGCATCACTTGCGAAGCATGTATGAAGGGCAAACAGCATCGGACTCCCATTCCAAAAAGAAGTCAGTGGAGAGCTTCTGAAAAATTGAGTCTTGTTCATGCGGATTTATGTGGTCCAATTACACCATCTTCAAGCAGCTGCGGAGTATTATTTCTCAGTGGATTCCAATTATCTACCACATCTTCATAGCAGCGGGAAAAAAAATTTAGAACGGCCTTTATTAAGAAAAATAAAAAAGGTAATTTGCTTTGTGTTTTAATAGACGCATTTATTCATAGAAAAAATCTTAATAGGATAGTGTTATTATTTTTCTCTTCTAAGAAATTACCGATTACTCATTTTTAAATGTTTTCAAAAACTCTTGGAGTGGAGAAAGAGATTGGGAATGCCCATTTAAAATGTATGACTAAGAATAGATACGAGGAGGAGAATTCTAATTCTGCCAGCATTTCATATGTATACTTTTTTGTCAAAAACCAACACTTGAGTAAAGAGACACCATGACTCACAGACTACTCCTTTTTATATCTCCAACAAGTACGATAGCTGAGTAGTCAATTGTAATTACAATTTCCATTGTCGGACAAAAATTTCGCAACACGTTTATTAGGTGCCGTTATGAATTTTGTTAAGAAGCTAATGTTATTACACGGAAATAAGGGGTATCCCAAGAAGATACTGACCACAGCCTATACTCCACAGCAAAACGGAGTAGCTGAGCGCAAAAATCGCACGGTGATGAATTTGGTAAGAGCTATGTTAACAGAAAAAGGGGTACCCAAGAAGTTGAAGCCTGAAGCTGTCATGTGGGCAAATCATGTCTTGAATCGATCTCCAACACTTGCAGTAAAAGATATGACACCAGAAGAGGCTTGGAGTGGAGTGAAACCAGCAGTAGACCATTTTCGAGTTTTTGAATGTGTGGGATATGTTCATGTCCCAGACGCTAAGAGAAAAAAACTTGAAGACAAAAGCATGGTTTGTGTTTTTTTCGGAATCAGCGGCGAATCAAAAGGGTACAGGTTGTTCAATCCAGTTGAAAAGAAAATCATAGTGAGCCGTGATGTAATTTTTAATGAACATCGTAAATGGGATTAGGAGAGTTTTGAGGATGAAGCTGATTTAGATTGGGAAGAAAGCATCGAAATTCCAGCAAAAGGAGAAAACACAAAACAAACAGGCTCTGCTTCATATGATGCTATTGAAACTACTGCCGAACCTATTATTACTGCCTCATCTGCTGATGAATTTACTGCACCAAATAACGAATCAGAATTGGCTTTAAAGGAGGGCAGAAGTCGACGTCCACCTATATGGTCAACTGATTATGTGTCCGGTGAAGGATTGTCTGAAGAAGATGTTAACATGGAAGATGATATTAATATGGTTTTTTTAATGGTTTCAGATCCTGTAAACTATGAAGAAGCAGTCAAGAGCTCAAAGTGGAAACTGGTCATGGATGAGGAGATTAATTCCATCGAGAAGAATCATACTTGGCATCTAGTCGTTCTACCTGCTGGTGCGAAGAAAATAGGAGTTAAATGGATTTATAAAACTAAGCTAAATGAGCTTGGTGAGGTTGATAAATACAAAGCGAGGTTGGTGGTGAAAGGCTACACACAAGAGCATGGAGTTGATTATACTGAGGTTTTGGTGCAGGTTAGATAATAATACCCAAGAGCGCGAAGGTTAGCTGATTGGTGATATAGGTCTACATCATCACAAGAGCATTGGAGGTTGACTCATATACTGAAGGGTTTTTTGCCCAGCCCGTTGTGCTCCGAGGTTGGTGGTGAAAGGCTACACACAAGAGCATGGAGTTGATTATACTGAGGTTTTTGCGCCCGTGGCTAGAATGGACACTGTAAGGATGATCATAGCATTTGCGGCACAGAATGGCTGGACACTTTATCAGTTAGATGTCAAATCAGCCTTTTTACAGGGAGAACTGAAAGAAGATGTTTTTGTAGAATAACCAAAAGGCTATGTCAAGAGAGGGAATGAGCAGCTGGTATACAAACTTAACAAGGCTCTCTACGGGTTGAAACAGGCAGCTAGAGCCTGGTTTAAGCCGAATTGAAGCCTACTTCATCAAGGAAGGATTTGAAAGCAGTTCTAGTGAGCACACACTCTTTGTTAAAAGGAAGGGAGGTAAAATTCTTATTGTAAGTGTGTACGTTGATGATTTATTGTTTACCAGTACTGATGAACTATTGTTGGGAGAGTTCAAATGTTCTATGAAAAGGGAATTTGATATGACTGATCTAGAAGGGAATTTGATTATGACTGATTCTGGTGTCAAAATGAGGTTTTTTCTTTCGGGAATTGAGTCAGTACAACGTTCAGATGCATTTTTATATGTCAAAGGAAATATGCTTTTGCTGAGGGGTTTTGAAGTGATTTGATGGGCTAGGAAAAATTCACCTCTGTTTGTTAATCCTATAGTCCTGGGATAAAAAATCAAGTTAAAGAATGAAATGGTGTCAAGGTGGATGCAACTCTTTACAAGCAGATTGTGGAAGTTCTGATGTACCTTACTGCCACTCGGTTCCTGCACCTAATGTTTGTTGTAAGCCTTAATATGGGAAGTCTGATGTACCTTACTGCCACTCGTCCTGACCTAATGTTTGTGGTAAGCTTAATAAGTCATTTTATGGCTTGCCCAACGCAACTGCACTTTGCAGCAGCGAAAAGAGTTTTGAGGTACTTGAAAGGCACAATTAATTTTGGTGTGTTCTATAAAAGGGGTGGAATTAGTGAATTGATTGGTTTCACTGATAGTGATTATGCCGGCGATATGGAAGATAGCAAAAGTACTTCGGGCTATGTGTTTATGATGAGTGAAGGAGTAGTAGCTTGGTCATCCAGAAAACAACTTATAGTCACCTTATCAACCACAGAAGCGGAATTTGTCGCCGCCGCTGCGTGTGCATGTCAAGCTGTCTGGAAGAGAAGAATACTCAGAGAGATTGGACATTTGCAAGTGGAAGGAACAAAACTTATGTGTGATAATGCTTCAACTATCAAACTGTCAAAAAACCCAGTTTTACATGGACGTTCTAAGCATATCAGAGTAAGGTTTCATTTTCTTAGAGATCTTACCAAAGAAGGAACAGTTAACTTATTGTTTTGTGGCACTCATGATCTTTAACTTATTGTTTTTGTGGCCACTCATGGATCACTTTCTGATTTATTTACAAAGCCTCTCAAGTTTTGGAAGCATTTCAGAGAGTTGCGCAAGAACTTGGTTTATTGTTTTGTGGCACTCATGATCAACTTTCTGATTTATTTACAAAGCCTCTCAAGTTGGAAGCATTTCAGAGATTGCGCAAGAAACTTGGTATGTGTGATGTTTCAGACTTAAACTAATTCTTGTCTAGAGAAGAATAAGTTTAAGGGAGGGAATGTTAGGAGCTGTTTGTTTGGTTCTATTAAATAAAAGTCCTATTCTTTAGGAAGTCCTATTCATTGGGATTGTTAGGATTTTTCTGCTGTATTTTTTCTTTTATCTTTGTGCTATTCCTGTAAGGCTATATATTGCCAGGTCTGATTTCAATGAATGTAGACTGGAAATCCAATTGTTTGAGTTCTCTGTTCAATCAGTTTTTCTGCTTAAACTTAACACATTGATGGTTACTCCTAAAATCAAATTATGGTGTGAAAATATCTGTTATTAACAAAGGTATTATTTAGTGAAATTGTTAAAGATAAAAACCTTTTCATAATTGAATACATGTAACCAAATCTGTATTTTTTTTCTTGAAATACGTACAGATTGCAAGCCTATTTGACCATAATTTGTATAGTTTTTAAGTACTCTATCTTGCCATTTCCCTTGATGGTTAGGTATACAATGTTGCCTCTTTGACATAAACAACATTTTTGCTTCTTTTTTTTTTTTTTTTCTCAGTGTTTGTTTCAATTGCTTTAGGAAAACCATGACATTTCTAACTTTCCCAAACCATGGTTTACTAACTCTAAACATTGCGGTCATAGTTTACAAAAGCAGTAAAAACAAAAAACCAAACTTATCAATCTTATAATCTTATAAGTAAAACTTTTGTCTTCACAGACAAACTTATCAAGTAATGAACTCAATTATGAATTGCAGATATAGTGCCTAGAGTGGAGATGAGAATTTGAGGTTTTGGAATATTGTTCCATTGATAAAGAAACTAGAAGGCAGGACTACTTAACACCAGGCATAGCCGGTTCATTGAACCGCCAATTCCGGTTCACGGAACCAACAGTTCAAAATTTTCAAAATATTGAATCTAAATTGACCCTTGAATTGCCTGTTACGGTGCGGTTCTGGTTTCAGCCGGTTCCGGTGCAGTTTTGATTACAATTTTCGGCGATATATGTTTTTTTTTTTAAAAAATCGGTTCTAACGTTATATTTTTCTTTTAAAAATATTTAATATAAGTTTAAAAAATATTGGTAAATTTTATAAGTCGTTTTAAAAAAATATTTGGTAGAATTTTTATTTTAAACATAATTTTACAGTTGCTCATATTAAATATAAGAATAAAATTATTAATTTTCCAACAATATCAAATATAATTATTCATTTTAGCTTTTTGTTTAAAATGTTATTAATTAAAATATAATTTATAAGACAAATTTTGAAAAACATACTTCAAAATGAAGAATGAATTTTTAAACTTAGTAAACAATTTAAAAGGGTAAGAAAAAAGTTAAAAACAATATAAAATTTAGGACTAAATATTTCTCTCTTTTTACCATTTTTACTTCTTTAAATTTTTAACTTTTATAAAGTTATAACTTTTAAAGTAAAGTGTATTTTAAAAAAAAAATCTTAAGTAAAGTATATCATGTAATAAAATATTATTGAGATTTTTAGAGATGTATAAGATAGGCTAAGTGATTCTCATTTTAAAAATAAAAATAGAAAAATTTTCGGTTCTAACCAAATCAGAACTGTTGGTTTATGGCCGGTTTAGGTTCAAATTTTAGCATTCACACGAATCTCAACCGGCCCTTGAACCGACAGTTCCGGTTCAAAACTTTGAACCGATGGTTCCAATCCGTTTCAGTTCATCTACAATACAGTTCGGTTCCGGTTCAAAATGAACCCGTGGCTGTGCCTACTTAACACAGTCCATTTTACTAGTTTTCATATGCTAAGATTCTTCCATTAAACTATTTCTCTATGTTTTCAGGCACGGTCAAAGATACAGGTTTTTGATCAGTGGAAAGAACTCAAATTCGGTGATAAAATCCTTTGCAAAAATCAACTTAAGGTATATGCTCTAAGTAGAGATAATAAATTTTTTATGCTGTTGTCACTATAAGTTTATGAAGTGAGTGTGAGAATTATTGTGTTTTATATTTATATTTCTTTTATTTTTCTTCGTGTGTACCAATTTTGTTAGTGGTGTTATGCATTTTAGTGCAGGATTTATAAACCTTCACCCCTATTTTAGATTTAGTTACTTAGTAAATTACTGATAGGCTACTATATGGTACAAAAACTGATTGTATGGAAGTTCATCTCTTTTCTTCCGTTTATTTTTGCACATGCATGGGTCATGGTATTATCTTTTGACACCATGTTTAACACATATTTCAAATGATGATGGAGCACATGCATGGGTCATGGTATTATCTTTTGACACCATGTTTAACACATATTTCAAATGATGATAAATATATTAATAATAAATAATCATTTATTATATATTGATTGTGATAATAATTTATGTAAATCAATTTTAATTAATAGAAAATTAAAAGATGTAATCCTATTTGGTTCTATGGCTATATATTTGTGCTATGCATAGATAATTTAATAAATATTGAGTTTTAATATTTAATTTAAATTTTTATATCTCAATTTTTATTAAATTGATTTGTAGATAAATAACTTTAGAATTTGCAATATTTAAGTTGGTTACATGATCAGGTAGTAATTTTTTTATTCACATAATTACTTACCAATTAGTTAGGTTTTAATATTGAACTTGACGAACTTATGATTTTTCAAACCAAAATGAAATATTTTCTTTTATTTTATAATTTCTTAAATTTTAAATTTAAAATTATAAATTTCAAAATAAAATATATAAAAAATAATATACACAATGCGCGGCCCTCGTTTAGTTAGAATGTAAATTTAGATAATTTTATACATTACCTTTATCCGAATCTTGTTAGTCTAGCTCTTTTCATATCTTAAACCTGCCCTTCGACTTAGGTAATGACAAATAAGAGGCATAAGTGAGCCAAACTAATTAGGCTATTGTCACGACCCGTTTCCGTGGGCCGGACCGGCACTAGGGCCTAGGTAAGCTTAAGGCCCCCGAGGCCCCCCCGAGGGCCCGTTTAGTAAGCCTAAAATTATTAAATCTGTCTACATGATTTTTCTTCCTAATTCAAACAAAACAGTTAAGCCCATATGACTTGAGATTATAAGTTTTTAAGCCCATATGACTTAAGATATAAGTTTTATAAAATTTTCAAACATCTGACCCAATATCAAATAATACATAAAATTTAACCAGGGCCTATTCACAATAACAAATAATCACAATAAGGGCTTACTAGTTTACCTACAGTTAATTACACAATAATTAATTTATAGCGTAGTGCTAACAATAAACCCCAATTTAAATACACAACCCTATAATTGCGGAGTCCAAAAAAATCTGATAACAGAATAATTTATACATTCAAAATTAAATATCAAGAATATAAAGTTTACATTTGTAACTCTGCGGAGAATATAACTCCTTGCGGAGAAGATTGCAGAAGGCTTCAATCGAAATCAGCTGCTTCCTAGTACCTGAGAGGTTTTGGGAGAGAAAGGGAGGTGAGTTTTTGCAACTCATGTGAAATAAATAATAAATTAATTGACCCCACACCAACGCATTAAGGGCAAGCAAAATGCACCCGTAGTATACTGAATGAACACCAAACAACAGGGTCACTCAAATGTCATTTCATATCAGCAACCCAACAACAATCGTGTGCCTTCAAATACATTCACATTTCACGGTTGGGGGGGAATTAGTCTAGGTGGTCGTCACCTAAACATATAATCATATCACGTGGAAATTGGTCAGTGGCGTCACCGAATCCCTCGATGAGCCGTCCTCTCAAACAGCCCATCCTCTCAAACATGTGCACCCGGAGAGCCAATCCCCCATATCTGGCCGACTGGTCTAATCCTCACTTGACCAGTCCTCTCAATATTTTATTTTACATTCTCTCTTTTCTTTTCCATATCAGCAACAT